AGAACGTGTTCCCTGACAGAACGGAGGCAGGGTTCCGCTCCCATCAGTCAGCCTGCTCTCTAATGGACAGCAGCCTCTCCCTGGAGTCCTGTTCTCATTCTGCTGCTCCCACACTGGGAACACTGGGAATGCTGGGACGCCAGGTATAGGAGGGCCAATGAAAAAGAAGGGAAAACAGGGGGAGGAAAAGGGAGCATGAAAGTAGAGTATGTATATAAAACATATTTATTTAACTTATATATAAGCGTGACACCATTAGGGCTCCACCAAGGGGGGGATGGGAAGGGGGTTCGTGGTGATGGAATGTTTAAGCTCTTAAAAGTGCAGTCAGCATTTTTGTTCCATTATTCTGGTTTTGATTTTGGTCATCATTGAACATGTTATTCCCCTCCCCTGGCCTGTAGGTGGTGCTAAGTAAGGAAACCTTTTCATCTGTCCACTGGACATCAAAATAAAAAGCACTAACGACACTTACAGGTAGCATGTTATTGAAACATCTTGCGTGTTAGCTCTGTATGTGTTAGCCACATGCTACCCTGTAGACCTGTGTTGTTCTTGACGTTTCTCTGCCTCTAAACCACTGGTTCCCAACCCATTTTTTTTTCCCTATGACCCCATTTTGATATCCAGATTTCAGACGACCCCAGAGACGGACATTTTTTTTAGTCACATGATCACAGCTGTCAGTCAAGCTGGACCAGCACAGATATTTTTTGCATTTCATTTGAACCTGATATATTCATGAAAGTGAAGATGGTGTGTGGGTGTTTCAAACTATAATTTTTAAAAGAATAAAAATAAGCTAAAAAAATAATTGTATCAGAAATGTATCAATTTCTAGACATTTCAGGCGACCTCATTTGAATTCCAGGCAACCCCAAGTGTGGTCAGGACCCCATGGTAGAAAAACACAGCTCTACAGACTGGTGTAGAAGGCTGAGCTGGATTTGATTTCATCTTGTCATTACAAATGTAAAATTCTTCTTTCAAGTGATTCAATAGAAAAGACCTGGAGCCCCTTCCAGACGTTCAAAACCCTGTTGGGAGGCTTTTAACCAACACCAGATTGACTGAGCCGCAGGTTTTCTTTTTCATCATCTGACGTCTCTAACACTACTGTGCGTTGGCCTTCATCTTACCTTGGTTTGCCCTGTTGTAGCTCAGTGTGAGGGGTGTGTGGGCGGGGCAGGTGGAGAGGTGGGGGAGGATGAAAAACTGTTGTTGCCAGACATATGTAACCGTTATGTATTTCTATAATAGTTTTAACATAACTTCCATTCATAGCCAATTAAGGCCAGATGTAAGTAATAACTAGCACACAGCGCCCTCTACAGGTCAAACTTTGGTAGGTTGGTGTATTCACAGGCCGTATTGAAGCAGATTATCTTAAACCGCATCAGATTATCAACTGAATGTGTTCAATAATTGCAGGCCACTGAGAGCAGATTTAAATCTGTCAGCACTGAAGTCTGAGATGAAGGGAGAAAAGAGAAAGTGTGAACTTCTGTGAACCGCCTTTTAAGACATTAATAATACCAATGTAAACAGCATTGTCTTATCCTATATCTGATCAAACTGCATATCCACACATCTTAGAAAGCCAATCTATCAATCAGCTGCAGTGAAGAGTGAGAGAGAGGCAGAGGCAGAGGAGCGGGTGAAGATTGAAAAATCAAAAAGTTAAAATGACTGTTTGTTGAGTTAAAGGTGAGAAACAGAGACACACACCTGCAGTGGAGACATTGACTGATGGACCGGGCTCACTCAGCAGATCCTCAGCACCGCGAGACAGCAGCCGCAGCTCGTACACACTGTCCTACACACACACACACACACACAGGGGGACAGAGGATAAAAACTACACTGTGTCTGAAATGCTAATGAAGATGATTTGAATTCCACCAGGTTTGTGTATGAACACACACACACACACACACACACACACACACAGCCTTATACACACATACACAGGCAGCAGTGACAGCTGCCGTGTCATAAACACACCCTGCAGCCTCCAGGACAAGAAACTCATGTTCCAGGGTTTGGAATCTTTTCCAGGACTGTTTTGTAATGAAATCTTTTTCTCCTTTTGTTATGGCTAACTACTGGCATTTGACTTCCAACGCCCATCTCGTTGGCTAACCTTAGGGCTACAGTGTTACATTTTCAGCTAATATTGGTGACAAGCAGCTAACCTTTAGCTCTCTGTTTTGCTAAATGTTAGCTTTTTATCTGAAGTAAAACTAATGATTAGTTCTTCAACATTTTAGCTCAAACTTGTCTTTATTCCTCCAGGAGTGTTGATTAGAAGAAGTGCTGTGAAAGACAGTGTGTCCTGAGGTGTTCTGACAGAATGGTCTCACACTGCAGTCTCTGGTCTGTTACCTTCTGTAGACCAGGAACCAGCAGCTCCGTGACATTAGCGCTGATGTTGTCCACCAAGTTGGACCACTGTCCCTCCTGACAGCAGGACTGAAGGACAAAGCCTGTGATTGGAGGATCCTCAGGTGCAGGGAGGGGCCACTTCAGAAGAACACCCCGTGAGGTCAGGTCGGCCGAAAGAGACCTGGGTGGACTGGGTTTTCCTCTGCTGGCTGCGGGATCTGGGCCAGAGAGAGAGGTTGGCAGAGAGAGGAACTTAGTTTGAAAAAGAAAACACCAAAACATATGAGATATTTTTAGGTTTAGCCACATGCTACAGACCCAGGGTTCTGACGGTGATGACCTGACTGAAGGGTCCAGTTCCCAGTCTGTTGTGGGACATGACACTGATCTGATATTCTGTGGCTGGACACAGGTCTGTCACCTGCACACTGGACCCAGAGGACAAGGGGACAGGAACAGAAAACCATCCAGGCTGACCTTCACCTTCATCTGGACCACTGTCAGCACCAGCACCTCCTGAAACCTTCTTCACCCTGACAGACAGACAGACAGACAGACAGACACACAGACAGACACACAGACAGACAGTTCTTCAATGCTCACCTCTGACCTTTCATTATCCTTTAATTAGCTCTGTTTAGCTAACTTGTTATATTTTGTATGAATTTGTCATCACTTTGACACGACCTTTACACTCTCTGAGCTCACTCTGAATCAGAGTCTTCTTCCCTTTAGTTCTTTCACAAAGTTTCTGTCAATGTACCGTGTGGTAATGTTTTGACTAGTTTGACCAGTTTTTTACCACAACTATGGTTATTGAAAATTTATTCCAAGACTGTTTCTATTTATTTTCACTGTGGAACCTTGAATAAGGCTGAGGGTGGTTATTTTACTGAAAAACAAACTTCGGACCATGTAGAACATCTACACCAGGAGATTTCAAAGTGTGAAGCGCAGCAGATGTCAATGGAACTGGACAAAAACGCCATTAGCACTTCACACATGTTGTGTTACTGTTGTGGTAACACCACAGTGGGTGAAGACAACGTGTAAACTATCGAACTGAGATGAGAACAAAGGGATTGATCTGTTCCTGCTACGCTGAGAAAGGAGGATTACTCTAGTAATCAGAGTAACTCTAAGTACTAGAGTTACCTCATTTTGTTGAAGATGTCAAAAAGATCTTTAATGTTCAGTTTGTTTGTGTGTCTGTGCTTGAGTGTAAATGTCTGTAAAAGGTGTATGTAGACATGGTGGGGGTATCACAGTACGGTGATGTTCCACAGGTTACTTCAAGAAAAGTAAAACAAGACAAACTCCATAGATCTTATTTTTATAAATCATTCAACTCATGGTTTCAGGGTAAACTTGATTTAACCTTTGTCTAGTTTTATTAGCTGCAGCATTAAGGGATAGCTCCTTCCATCAAATTTCAGCGCATTCTCATCCACAGAAGGTTAGAGTTGACCATAAACACGACCAAAAGTGAGCAGAGAGGCTGCATCTGTCAGAACAAAGTGAGAGGAATCTTCTCCAGCCTGCAGAGACGCAGCCAAACAGAAGAAACGAGCGGCAGAGAATTTTGAGAGTCTGGTTTTTCTATGGAACATGACAGAGAAGTCAGTTTCATGAATCATTCATTTTCCTCATCATTAGCTGGAGGTTCTCCAGCAGAGACGCAGCACTGAAGTATTCCTAACTCCCCAGAGACAACTTTAAAGTACACTCACTTTATTTTTTCTCACATTTAAATGTTGATGACCACAGGTGGCAGCAGTGGGAGGATACAGACAAAAGTTTGACTTTAAGAAGAGAGTACTGCCAAAAGATAACCCCAGGTAAAAAAAAAAACAATCTCAAAGTTAGCTAAAATAAGCAAGACATAAACATGTCGGGTCATAACTTAGGTTAATCAATAGTTGCTGCACTGAATTTGTTCGTGTTTGGGCCTCGGGCCACAGCTTGAATAGTTGCTGCACTGAATTTGTTCGTGTCACAGCTTGGACACGAATCAGCTACGTGTTCAATTTGAATAAAAATAACAAAATAAATGCCCTACGTAACCATTAAATAAAGAATAAATGAAATAAAAACAGGTTGAAATTGGTCTCTGAGACCTAGTCAGTCAATCAGCTGGTCAGTTAGTCGGTTGGTTGGTCATTCAGTCGATCTGTTAATTCCAACAGCTACAGTCATTTAATGAGGTATTGGTTCTCAGTGACGACACTGTATTTCAAAAATTCAAATGTACCTTTCTCACATTCATCACACACAAAGTTGATGAAGTGCACCGACAAAGGAGGGTTTCCCCCCCCTCTCTCCCCCCTCTCTTCCTCTCTCTCACTTTCTCAAAACAAAGCCTAAATGACAACAATAATCCAGAGATGTTTTTCTATTAGACCAGTCAACTGCTGAAGTTAAGCATTCACAAAACAAACCAACTCCTGCATTTTAACTACAACACACAGGCTGTGTGAAAGGAGACTCTTCAGCTTCAGACGGAGCAATGGGCTTGCTAACAAAACCTTCAACATCTTTTGAAAAGGCCCAGAGATCGACAAAAGTAATCATAAAAAAGTACAAAAAAGTCACTGTTTAAGAATAAAGTACTTCAAAAGTATGAAGTACATAATAGTCAAAAGGATAAAAAAGCTATCATTTCACTCAAAAAGTAACTTTTAATAACTGAAGGTTGGAAAGTTAGTTGCTAGAAGTTAGTAAAAGACACTATGGTAAAACAGTGAAAACGGCTTAAAGTGAGACCAAAAGGCTAATTGTAGACTTATATATTAAAGGTCAGCCATGTACCAAAGTTCAACTTAGAACATTATATGTATAAAATCAACATTTAAAAAGTAAAACAACAAGAAGGCAGTAAAACAAATGTCAAACTAGCAGGAATAAGTTAGGCAAAAAATGCTCAAATTGTAGAAATGTCTGAAGTCGGACAAAAACAGTCAGAATTGATAAAAAAAAAAACGAATTGAAATTTCACCCACCAGACGGAGAAGGTCTGAGATGATCCTCCGTCAAAACCTGGTTCCCAGGACACGTTGACGAGCTTCTGTCCCACAGAGACAGACAGAGAAGAGACTGGATGAGGACTGGTTCCTGGAACACAGAGCAGAACATGATTTCAGCTAACCTTCTTCCTAAACATTCTCCTTTAGGCCCATTTTACATCAACTTGGTTTAACAACTAACAAGCTAACCTTTAGCTTGTTTGCAAGCTAAAGGATTTTTATCCAGTTTGTTCTCACCCAGGACAAAAACGTTGGTTGTGGCCTTCACTGAAGCAACGCGGTTTTCAACACTGCATTCCCACGCCCCCTGGTGGTCCTTCGCAAGAGGCTGCAGCAGTAGAGAACCATTTGGTTCCATAGAGAATGTGATACGACGAGTTGTATCCACCTGGGAGATGAGAGAGTTTGTTAAATCCTTTTGACAAAGACGTCAAATTATTGAGGCTAAACTTTTCTTTACTTTTTTCCAGGAGATGTGAGTGAACGCATCATCGGTTCCCTGACAGGGAATCAGCAGCGTGGTCCCAGCCTCTTGTTGGTACTGTTTCTGCGGAGCTATGGTGAGTGACGGAGGATCCTGTGGACATTAGAAATAAATAAATAAAAACTTTTTTTTTACCTTAATTAAACTGACAGAGATTTTAGAAACTGCAGCCAGGAGTTTGGATGGGATTAAGTGAAGATTATATTAATCACAAAAAGGGATTAACAAGACAATTAACTCCTGAACTGATTCACTGCTGCTGCTATTGCTGCTGCTGCTGCTGCTGTTGTTGTTGTTTTTATTGTGCGCCTGAACTTAGACCCACAACAAAGTGGTTTTAAAAGGTCAATAAAATGTCAATAAACAAATGTTTAAAAAAAGGTTTTTTTTATATTTGACAGAAGCTGCTGTGAAGAAAGAACTTAAAGAATATCAAGTCTCTTAGAGTTCACGACTCAGTTCATCAGATTTACGAGTGGAAAGATCTCATCAAGTTGAAACAATGTGACAATATTTCCTTTGTGGCCAAGGCAGTCACATGACGTCGGATCAGCTCCCATAGTCATCACTTTATCTGCTGACAATTAGCCCCGACTCTAAACTCTAAGACGATATTACCATATAAGGAAGGAGACACAGTTTGACCAGTTAGATTGTTAAAGTGAATCTGATCAGGACATTAACGTGAGATGGAAGTTCCACCATGTACAACCACCAGCCACAGTGTTAGCATTAGCGTTGGGGTACCGTTAGCTTAGATTTTGGGTTTCCGTGATAGAAAAAACATTCAAACGTTCTTACATTAGAACATTTATACCTGTTTACATTTATTATACATTTTATAGTAGAAGGTTCTGTGTCTGGACTGACCTGCAGGATCACCTGAGTGGACTCAGATGGACCCATGGTTCCGTAGCTGTTGTAGGGAGTACAGCTGTAAACTCCTGCTGCGTCATCATTCACTGTGGCCATGAACAGAGAACCGTTCGTTCTCAGACTCCAGCCTGGGAACTGAACACAAGACCTTCTGTAATTCCAGGCGAACCATTAGCTACTTTTGGGTTAAATGTTATACATCCTTTTAATATTTTTTGTTGTTGTTTTTTTTTTTTTTTTTTGTAAATCATTCTTTTTTTCTAAGGTTAATAAAAATCTTTGCCAGCTAAGTGTTTTAGCATTACTTGTTTTTTGGTCACATTCAAATACATATTAGTGAATTTAGGTTTATTTCCTGACACATTTTCATTTTTCCTGCCCCATTTGAAAACTCTGAGTCTCCAGGGAAAGAAGTGCAATTTTCATGTGGGAGCAGAGCGAGATCCATGACGTTGTTGCAGGAGAGTGAGTGTGAAGAAGTGACAGGCTAACAGTTGGACTCTGACACTGCTGTCCTGCAGAGCTCCGCTGTCTTCATCACCTTCATCATCAGCACCAGCCCTGATGGCTGTGGCTCCGGTGGAAAATACGTCAGACAAACAGAAAGTGCTGTGGAAATCTGATTCCTTCTGAATCATAATGAACCTGTGATCAGTTCAAAATCACACAGGGGACTGAGGAGGATTTGACTCCGCCCACTGATGAATGTTGCTGTCAGTCCTCACACAAGGTGACAGGACGAGGAGGAGGAGAAGATGAAGGAGCAGAGCAGAGCTCATGAGGGTGTGATTCAGAGGCTTTTAGTGGTGAAGCTGAAAAATATCTACCATCTACAGTAAAGGTGCAGTCTGCAGTTTTCTTCACATGTAGCTCTGGCCTGCAGGTGGAGCTAAACACACCTTCCAGCCTGTTCCATGATTCACATGTGTTGGTGTTTTTTTATATCAATCTGTTCCTGTCAACTGGGCCAGAACTTCTTCAACAAGAAATCCATCTCTTGTCTTTGTACCAGAGGTTGAGAACCACTGATCTAGTGAGTAAGAAGTGTTTTCAGATCTAAAACTTGAGTTCATGAGTGTCATTACTGCCACTGGGTCAAGGGTCAGAAACACCCCTGGAGTTTAAACTGCAGATTTAACATTTATTATCTCAAATATCCTGGGAAAAATGTTTCTTTTTTTGTTTGGTTGTTGTCTCTATTTTCAGAAAGTGAAAAGAAAAATGATGAATTATTTTTAACATAAATTCAGTATTTTTTTTAGCTGTAGGAGATTTGCTTCATTTCTGTTAAATTTAGTTAAATCTTTAGGATTGGTGTGTTTTTGTTGAAACGTTACCATTTGCAGGTCCAGAAGTTGCCCGTCTTTAGTCCAGTGGACATCCGTCAGTGGAGGCAGAGCTGCTGTTGGACAGGACACGACGCCGCTCAGACCCGTGGGCAGAAATGTTTCCTGAGGCATCAGAAGAGCCAGAGCTGGATCTGAGGGAAAGAACACGATAACAATATAATAAAATATTATAAGACAGTTCCCTGGAGTGGGGCTTAAAACCAAAAGTGAATTTATTTTTTGAAGTTCATCAATAAAACATCTACAGCAAGTGTGGTAAACAAAACCCCCCACAGCCTCACTCCCCAGGTGAAATAATAAACCTGATGTTGAAAACGGTGATAAGAGTCAACAGTTGAAGCCGAAAAGAAAAACAGAGAAGATGGAGAAGTCAAAACTGCACTCAGACGTACGCATCACAGTCAGGTAGGCGGAGGCAGTGGGCGGAGTCAGCAGCCCATTGCTGGGCATACAGGTGTAGTTCCCAGAATCCTCAGGGAGCAGATTGGAGATGAGCAGCGTTCCATCCACCATAATCTTCACCCTCCTCATTAAAGAACTAAAAAAAACATAGGAGAAGAATTTTAAAAACGAAGGAGTGGTGTTTGGGCAAAGAAGGAGAGGGGTGGGGGGGGTTGTCAACTGAAAGAGGTGAAGAAGCAGCAGGAGGAGGAACAAGAGGAGAGGGAGCAGCGGGAGGAGGAACAGCAGTATTCACCTCTGATCTGATGTTCATTTATTTAAATCTCTTTCAAAGAAATAAAAGCTCAGAACTCTGCAGTTAGAGGAAAAAGTTCTTGTTCCTAAAAAGTGACTGTTACAGATTCTGGACTCTCCGGAGAAAAGAATCAAAGAAAAAGTTTAAGCCTTTTAAACTTCCCATTAACATGAGAGTAGTACAGAAAGATCAGGTGTAAAGTACGGCTTCACTGTGTTCAGAGGAACTGTTCTTCAGTGTCACTGACTGAAGTTTTAATGATCCAGTCAAAGGTTTCAGCTACACATCAGAACTAAAGACTGTGATCCTGGACTGAGAGAAGATCTTCATCCTCTTCATCATCATCAACATCATCTTCCTCAGCTGAGGGGAAAACAACAGCAGAGGGCACCATATCTCTAGCACACATCATCTCCTCCCATCATCTCTTCTCTTATCCCCTTTAATCACCTCTCTTCACCACACCACTCCTCTCCTCTCTCCTCTTCTTTGCACTTAACCCCGCCTACCTCCTCTCCTCCCTCCCTCCCCTCCTAGCACACTCCTCCTTACACCACTTCTTTCACATACTTCTCAATCTGCAGGAGGAAAATAACCTTTTCTGACTCTGGCCTCTGACCTTTGACCTCTGCCATCATCTTTAAGGCACAGACCTGAGTCTCTGCTCTGCAGCCAATCACGGCTCAGCTCAGAGAGACTTACTCGATGTGATGAACATTTTCCCCGTCTTTCTGCCAAACGTAGGTCATGTTGGGGGGGTCGGCCACTGCCTGGCATCGCAGCAGTGCATCCTGGGACATGTTGCGGGAGGTGCTTTTAGGAGGGACAACAATGACAGGTGGACCTGGACAGAACAACAGTAAAAAAAAAAAAAAAAAAATCAATTGTTTCTAATGAATTCATTTCTGTTGTTAAACAAACCTAAATTTGACAAGAATCTAAAAAGCTTTTTGAGTCCTAATCTAATCTCACCTGAGCTAATCTAAGGTAATCTAACCTAATCTACCTGACTCTTATTTTACACACTTTCTCCATCAGACCCTGTTGACCTTTTAACCCCCGCCATGTTAGTGTTTTCTTCTAAAATAAATAGTCTGAGTTTCTCTTTCTGTTACATGATGCAAGAGGCAGAAATGACTGGAGCTGTCAAACAGTCACATCTACACACACACACACACACACACAGACAACCAGACAATAACTTACCTTTGACTTTGACTGCGGTCACATGACTGACATTTCCCTCCACGTTCGAGGCATGGCAGGTGTACTGTCCCACTGACCTGACACTCACTGCCTGCAGAGATAGACTGCCGCCCTGCTGGTGAATAAGTGATGAATAAAGGAAAAGGCAAGACGTGAAAAGAATTGCAGAAAACACCCGGCTGATAAAGTGACAGAGTGAACATCCTGAAGTTATCTAAGACAGTGGTTCTCAAACTGTGGTACACATACCAATGTGGGTTTCCTCTTGCTATGCTGAAGGGAATGTGACTCCTACCCTGATTATGTGAGTCAGCTGTTTGTTACTTAAGATAATGTTGATCACAATAACGGCACTTGGATAGAACCGATGATTTAAGGTTAGAGGTTTAAAAATATTTAGGAAAAAAAAACTGATCCGAGAAGAAAGCTGAACTTGGCTCAGGAATGACTACAATAAGTATTAAGTCAATACAGAGGTTAGCCCGAGTTACCCTGATGGTATGATAATGAGAAGCTGGCACGAAATTATTATATATTAAAATTATATTAATAAAACACATCCTCTAGTTTTAAAAAAATAATTAAAAGGCTGAAAGTTGTAGCTTAAAGTTAGCTAATGATGATATCTGAAAAAAAGTTGGCTAAAAGATACAGAAGTTAACTTTAGCACAGGACAAGGGTTATGTCAGCACAGTATATACTTATATACAGTATATATATATATATATATATACTGTGTATATATATATATATACACTGTATATATATTATTTAGCAAATACAGATGAGAAGGTACCTGATAGTCTTCCCTGGGAATCAAACTACCATCCTTTAACCAGGTGATAATGGGGGTGGGATTTCCAATGACAGCACAGGAGAGACTGACATCAGCTCCAACTAGAACCTCTACAACAGAGGGCGGGGCTTCCTTGAAGGTGGGCGGGGCTACAAACAGATTTACGAACAGATTTTAGTTAACTGAGAGGTTCTGCTCTATGAACAGGAAGTGATGTGTGAAGCTAGAGAGCTTGTGATGGGACCTGATGTCGACATTGATAAAGGAGTCAATGATAAATGTTTGATCATGTGATTTTTTTCTATGTTAAAATTAAATTAAATTGAATTAAATTAGTCTCCAATCCTGAATGTGTAGCATCAACTATAGTCACTTATCTGTGAATCAGTGCAGTCTATCAAAGAGTTTTAAATCTGACCGGTGACAGACAGCAGAGTCCAGCTGCTGTTCTTCAGCTCCTCTGTGGGCCGGTCCAGAACCAGGATCCGACACTCGTACCAACCCTGATCCTCCACCCGAAGGTCGTCCAGACTCAGGGAGGTGACGTCACGCAGGGAGGCTCGCCCTGAGGACACAGAGTGAGAGAGGCTGAGAGGAGGAGGAAGTGAGGCATCAGACATCCTGGTGGCAGAACCACAGGGAGATGTTCCACCTGAGGTTCTCCATGGACTCCAGGACTCAGACCTGTCAGCAGTCAAGCTGCAGTTCAGGGACGTGTGGACTTTTTGGACCTCGGATCTTGAAAGTTTAACTAAAAATCATTAGTTTTCAGAACAACTGAAACAGTGCACAGCATTTCTATTTACTTTCCTTGACCATACTGTCTAAACAGAAGATAATAAAAAAGCCTTAAACCTCCTTCAGCTCACTGGTGCGCCTGTATACTTCTTCTACTTACACAGTATTATTTTGAACACTGCTGCCACCTAATGACTGGAGGCTTGTTTATCGTTCATGAATTACAGCAGCAGTGTACTCTTGGGCCCCACCCCACTGGTCTGGGGTTTCTTTACTGAAATAGATATGTTGATATTACCAGCTCAGACGTGTTAGTCCTGACTGTGACCGGAACAAAGTTCTGAGTCATTAGAACAAGAACGGACACACAGACACACACAAACACACGCACACACTCCTGTTGCCAGGTTTCAGCTCCCTGTCTAAGCGACCTCCACATTTTTATTTTCAGTTCACATTATTTTTTTCCTTTCAGAAAAATCTCTTATTTCCTCCAATGCCACTGCCACTGCTATTCCCAGTAAACAATAGAATACAAGGCCTTAATAACAAGACAAGGCCGAATGAATAGGAGACACTTAGAGCACTGAAAGAAGAGAGAGAGAGAGATGTTGACCTCATCAACCTCATCAGTTGGAGACTAAACTTAATTAATAGACAACAGACATTCCACTCTGGTCTGTTTTGCCCTAGTCAATTCCAGTCTGTCTCGGTCTGTTCTAGTCTATTCTTTGCTGTCCGTGTCTGTTTGAGTTTCTTCTGCCCAAGTCCATTTTTTGTCAATTCTAGTCTATTCTGCTCCAGTCACTTCTAGTCAGTTCTGCCCAAGTCAGTTCTAGTCTCCTCTATTCTTTTCTGCTCTAGTCGGTTTTATCCAGTCAGTTCTAGTCTCTCAGTCCTGTTCTAGGCTCCCGTTCTTAACCGTTCTTTTCTATTTTTCTAGTCTCTTCTACTCTGTTCTATTCTGGTTCTGTTCCTCTCGTCAGTGTGAAATTAAAAGTACAAATATAAATCCTTTCACGCAAAGGGTCAAAGGTCAAATGTCAGACTGTGACCTGCTCTTTCATCCCACTGAGTTTGGTCCCACCCCCTGATTTTTGTGGAAAAGCAAACAAAAGGTTTGTGTGTGTGTGTGTGTGTCCTCTGTCCACCCAGGCTTCACACTGACTTCCTGTTTTTCTTGGACTTTCCCTCTGAGCCTCAGCCTCACAGCAGCTCAGTGTCACACATCCACTCAGGCTGCAGCAGCTCAGTGTTTCACTGTTTCCCTTCTACCACTGTGGACACACTGCTGTGGTTCAGACCCGTGTGGAGGACACGTCTGTTAAACAGTCAAACAAACACCCTATCAGACTAGTGACTCTGACCCTGACCTTAATCCTGACCCAGTGTTTGACACTGTCAGTTCACCCGTTTGATACAGTGAACAGTGGCTTTTCATCACAGTCACCAACATGTTGGTGTTTTATTATCTACAGATCGATTGTTGTCACATGGTGTTAATTCACAGCTGCTGCTGTTGGTCACAGCACCGAGTCAACCTCCAGTCTTAGTTAAGGCCGCAACCAAGGACTGATATTTCACACCGTCAACCAGAGTAATTAGGAATGAAACTGTATCTGCGGCTTTTCTCTGAGTGAAACCTGAATTACTGATGTGTTTAATGCTGCTGCTGCTGCTGCTGCTGACACCTGTGGGGCTGAGAGGGCTTCACCCTGATTCTCTGACCGTCACATTCCTGAGGATGTTCCCACTCTGATCCAGAGGGGAAGTATCATCCTGAAGTCAGGTTAAGATTTGATGATATATTACATCATTAGGTCATTAGGTCTAATTGTCTTTTATTGCGCAACAATGGGGAATTTGCAGTGTTTTTACACAAAGTCCAGAGGACATCTGATGTGACTCAACATTCCCATAGAAAGGTAGAGCTGCAGAAACATTCTGGGATCCTGGAAGGTGGAACTATTCTGTAGATATATTGGGCTACATAAGTATATGTATGATATATTACACTATGAAATCAATGTATTTAGTCTAGGTCTTTTTTTAGGATCAACTTAGATCAAAGAACGTAATTTAGACGAGATAGGACCAGGACTGGGACTACAACAAGGACAGACCGGACCAGACTAGACCAGACTGTACAGTAATAGACTAAAAAAGATCAGATTTACTTTCATACGCCTGAGGAGGTAAAGGAACCAAAATGACTCAGAGCTGCAGTCCTGTAAAAGTAAATATCAGCAGAATATTCTCCGGAGAGCTGAGGTTCATATCCGGAAACGCTACAGATTCATATTAAAAGAAGGAAAATCAATTTCTGTGGTGAGTTTTTTTTTTCTTTATTGTGAATAAACCAGAGGTAATCGAAGTCTGCCAGCTTCAGTGTTTTCTTTTCATCAACTGTCAGATTTTTATTAGATGTGAACTGTATGTTTTCTATAGAGGAGTTGACCCCGTTTGGTAGACGACACTTTACAATCAAGTGCCTTTGAAGCCATCAACAACAAAGAGAGGAAAGTTACAAAGGTGTTCAGTTTTAGGAAAATCAACATCTAGTTTCACCAAGTTTCTACTGCAGTGTCAACAAATAAAGCAGGCATAGAGTGAGGAATGCAATTTAGATTCCTGTCACTAGATGTTATAATTTCTAACAGACTGAAAAATAGATAAATATGATACATGTTAAAGAAATCTGAATCACTTTCGCTTTGGTCTTTGAGCTAAAATCACTGATTTTCTCTATGGACTTTGGTCTGTGAGCTAAAATCACTGATGTTCTCTATGGACTTTGGTCTGAGCTAAGATCACTGATTTTCTCTATGGTCTTTGGTCTGTGAACTAAAATCACTGATTTTCTCTATGGTCTTTGGTCTGTGAGCTAAAATCACTGATTTTCTCTATGGTCTTTGGTCTGTGAGCTAAAATCACTGATGTTCTCTATGGACTTTGGTCTTAGCTAAAATCACTGATTTTCTCTATGGGCTTTGGTCTGTGAGCTAAAATCACTGATGTTCTCTATGGACTTTGGTCTGTGAGCTAAAATCACTGATGTTCTCTATGGACTTTGGTCTGAGCTAAGATCACTGATTTTCTCTATGGACTTTGGTCTGGGAGCTAAATTCACCGATTTTCTCTATGGACTTTGGTCTGTGAGCTAAAATCACTGATGTTCTCTATGGACTTTGGTCTGTGAGCTAAAATCACTGATGTTCTCTATGGACTTTGGTCTGAGCTAAAATCACTGGACTTTGGTATGGGGAGAGTAGGTGGTTTAAAATACTACAGTTCATTGCTGAAATACTGTGTCAGGACAAAGTTGCTGCTGTTGTTGTTTTTCAAACTTCTTCTTACTCTTCTTTTGTTCCTGGAACCAAACTGTAAGCCAGACACCTGAGAGCGTTGATGGCCTAAGGAGGTGAAATCAACACCAGCGTCTCAGCGTCAGTTTCCCATGCTGCACCTGTTTGCTGCTGTCCAATCAGCATCAGTGTGGACAAAGGGTCTTTCTGAGGGCCTTTTGTGTTTGTGAAGAACAGAAGCTTTTCTGTCTGTCACTGGAGAAGCATGTGATCAAAAAAAACCTGGATGTGTTTATTCTCAGGACAATGAGATGGTTTCTCTGTGCTGTGTAAAACATTTGAAAACTGCTGTTAACTGGTTGTACAGCATGTTTACTTGACGTTAAATGGATATAAAATAAATTCACTGGGGGAAAAACTGAATAATAAAATATGTTACGTTCAGTAGTGTCACATTTTTGTAGGTTTTTTTTACTCATGAACTTTTCTTCAATTGTAAACTGATCTTTTTTGTTAAGTGATGTAAACTGAGACTGGGACTTCCAACACTTTTGTGAAGTGGATGGGAGTGATGTAAAAACCCAGATGAGCTGGACCTGGACTGGGTTTCATCTGATTAAAGACATTGTAAATTGTTGAACCAGTTTTGGACACGGTTAACTGTGTAACTTTCATGAGAGGGAAACTATCATCTTTGATCCAGAAAAGGTGAAGATAAATGGAACTTTAACACCAAGATCAGCTAAAATTTGATAATAAGAGTTAACAGTAGTAAAACATGAACAGAAATACATTACTCGTAACAAGTCGCAAATTAATTAGTTAAGAATTAACTTTTGCTGTGTCATGTCAATGTAGTATCGAGACAACTTTGAACGAAGTGAACGTTGACAAAAGAATTCTGATGAAATTTTTCTTCATGTTTTCAAAATATTAGGCGTTTCTGATGAATATATTTTAACACAAAAAGAAAAGCGTGGTCTTTTTGGCCATGACCACAACTTCAGTGTTGAACCTCTCTCGTATTTCGTATCTCATACGACTTTTATAAAGTGGCTGGAATCATTTAAACTCCTCTCCCATGCCAGTGCTCCAGCTGTCATGTTCTTCAGGTTTTACACATTTTCCTGAAAAACAGTCTGACATTTTTTATCGGTGTGTGAAGGTTTGGGAGCTGCAATAGAGTTTAAAAACAGTGAGTGAGAGTTTGAACACTGTTTATGATGACTGACGTAACAGTCAGTAAGAGAATGAAAAATAACTTAACTGCTGAACACTGTTTATGATGACTGACGTAAGAGAATGAAAAATAACTTTTAAACTGGAGTGATAATATAATCAGACAGAAAGCTAAAAGTTTGACAGGGTAAATACTTTATCCAAGTATAGTGAGAGAACAAACACAAACTTAAGAATGGCTAATGACTAGTCCGCTATGACCATAGAATAGAAAAATAAAACCTAATAAGGAAAGTGAACTCCTTGTCATTGTGACACAGCACACTACGGCACGCAAACCTCTGCAAATGTGACCTCTGTTTTTAACCCACCACCAAAGTGAACAGTGGGCAGCTTTAAGGACCAGGGATCAGTGAGTGGGGACGATGCCATGATCAGAGCACCTCAGTGCTAACTTGGCAGCTGGTGGACTCAAACCTTTCGTACCCAAGTCCGCTTCCTTAACCACCACGCCACCACTTAAAACAGGTTTAATTGTTAAGTAGTTAAAGGTCAAATGTAACCAAATGAAGGAAACATTGTAGGAAAAGGACTATTTTGTCTCTATTTGTTCTTTAACAATATCCTGTTAAAATATCTATATATGTTGTCCTAAAAAACTAAAGGTAAGGCAAAAGAATCAAATCAAAAATAGCAAAAAGAATCTAGAGGTTTTTGTGAAGAAAAAATATTTTAAAAAAAACATTTATTCAAACGCAACAAAAAGTTTGCTTAACTAATAACAGAGCAGTAAAAAAGCAAACACTTAAAACTAAACAATTAAAGCTAATCCACAGCAACTGTGGGCTAATAAATATACATTTTAATATAAATATAAAGTTTGTCCAGAAATGATTAAAAGTGGAAAATGTTAAAAATTAAAACTTCAGGGCAAAAAAAAAAAAAAAAGAAGTAAAACACTCGTCTCATACAAACCTGATCATTTTCACCTGGTACTGGTACATTTGATGAAAACTAAAACAACCAAAACACTGTAATGTCACCGCTGCCACAGTTACAACTGAATTTAAAACAGGTTGTTATTGTTTTTACGGCAAAAACCGAAACATCCTGCAAAAGTGTGGATGAACTGAATCATTTATTGCTCAGCTCCGAGTAAAAGAGAAGGAAAATCTTGAACCTCCCTGACGAGCTTTTCTCTTTTTCTTGCCTTTTTTGTTCACATTATTCCCATTGTTTGTGACTTTAAAGAAGAACAGAGGCCACACAAAGCTTTTCCTGCTCCACTGAGGGATTTCTCTTTCCCCACGGACGCTCTTTGTTCTCAGAGCTCAGGGCAGAATCAGCACAATGGACCGTGATGATGATGAAGAGGACGAGCGATGATGATGATGAAACCTGAGAGTCTCAGCTCTTTCAGAAGAAGAAAAGTTGCTGCTGCTACTGGCCCTGAGGCTGGACTCTGAGGTTCACAACTCAGTCTGGACTCACATTAGACCCACACTCATGTCACACTTTAGAGAGTGGATGTCAGAGACTGGAAGACCGACTGACACCGAGCTTTGAAAAAGAGAACCCTAGATTCTCTGCCAGACTGATTAGTTAGACTTCTGTCATAATCAGAGGTGGAGAGTAACCAATTACATTTACTCACACTACTGTAATTGAGTAGTTTATTTGATTAATTTGAAACATTTTAAGTAAATTTGGGAATAGGTAATTCTACTTTTACCTTAAGTACATTTTGACTCAAGTACTTTACTTTGTTACACTGGAAAGCAACCCGTTACAATCTGCATTAACTGAAAGAAAATTGCGAGTGCGTTCTGATTTCCCCCTGTGATAATGCAGCCACTGAATGTTGACTAAGAGACAGACTCTAGCCTGTCACTGGATGATTTCCCAGGCCAACAGAGCTGTCGCTGTTGAAACTTCTTCTTTAGTGGCTTGAATTTGAGGTATAAACGTTCAAATGGATCATAAAATTCTCAACTTCTGCCACTAGTTGCAGATTAGATGTATAACTCGTCCTTTTTTGCATCAAGGAAGTAAAGTAACTGAATGAAGTTTTTTGTTTTATTTTACTTGGGTAGCATTTAGGCAAATTAAATATACTTTTACTTCAATTTTCTTTAGTACTTTTTTCACCTCTGGTCATAATCTGTATGGTTACAGACATACAGTATGTGTCTGGACAGAATGTTCCTGGTTCTGCTGCTTTTGATGAAATTATAGTGTGAGGTCACCTATTCTCTCAGTTATTGAAATAAAAAAAATCTAATATGCCATGAAGTTAATTACAGGTCAACCTTTAACAAATAAAAGTGTAACAGCCCAGGGTCTCCAGAAAGAGAAGATAATCAACTCAGAAATCAGAGCTAAAATGTCTCAAGAACAGGACAGAACAATTCAAACAAAGTCATAGCTGAAATAAACTAACAGATCCTAAACCTTAGCCCAGGCATTGCTCAAGTTTCTATTATAGATTTGTAGGTTGAAAAGATTAGCAATTAGCAACTAACATTAACAAAAAATACTACTACTATTATTACTGTTATTATTTTGAATTAGCCATAAGTTAGCCTATAAATAACTACACAAATGTTGCTTGTACATCTGAAGTACTTAGTTACATGGAGACAATGGAATGCCATTACAAAAATGTGTGGCGTTCAAATTTTAGCCCAAAAGTTAATGCTACAACAGCTTATTTTAACCAAATAAGAACAAAAACGCAGTCCAAGCACAGCTAAAAGTTAGCTTAAACTGCTTAAATAACTCAAACAAGTAAAATTCCAAAAATCTAAAATGTATCTAGAAACAGGTGGAGTCTGGTCAGAAACACGGCACTGAATGTGAAACTAAGCTAGCCGTAAGCTAAAATGAATCACTGAGTTTTTAATTTAGACAATAAGAAGCGGAAAGGATTTAAAACAAGCCCGAAAAAGACTTTAGAGATGACCAAAATTAAAAACATAAACATGACGTCATAATGTACTCAAAATCCATCAAAGTTCATCTACAATAAGCAGGGCTACAGTGAGCGATGACCTCTTACCTTCATACTCTGGGTGAACTCTGGGAGGGTAGGATCCAAATTTGATGAGAACAGGAACGTCGAGTCCTTGTCGAACCCATTCCACGACGTGGAGAGACGCTGACGTCACGTCCATGTGGGAGTTTGAAGGAAAAACACATTCCAGCTCCACATGTGCTCCGGCTCTTCTACGAACCTCTGACTGATGAAGACTTTCAGCACTCACTGCTGTGTTTGACAGAAAGAAAGAAAAAACAGTCAAAGCACTTCATCTGTAACCTGGGCAACCAGCGGCACAATTGGCCTCAGACAAGCGAGGAACGTACAGATGAGGCTGAGAGCAGCAGCAAAGACGAGGAGGACGTGTGCATGTGTCTGTGGGGCCATCGTCACTCACTTCAGCATCTTCACTCTGGTGGAGGAAATAAAAGCACAAACAAGGTTTCAAAATGGAGCCAATCAAAGTCCGGGCCATTTCAAGACAAATACAGGGGGTCGAACAAATGTGGGTTAGTGGGAAGTAATCCTGCCTTACAGCAAGAAGGTCAATCGTTCAATCAACCATCAATCATCTACAGTATGTGAGTTTTTCTCAAGGTTCTTTTTGTCCCACAGTCGAAAACATGAACAACAGTGACCAACATTCATTGTTCACTGAAACCCCACCACAGGTGTGAATGTGAGTGTGATTTTTTTTTCTCATCACATGAGGGACTGCAGTACTGGCCAAGGTGATGAAGGTGATTAAGGTATAGAAGGAATGAACATGACTTTGGAATGACTTTGAACAGCAGGGGTCACTCTAAGATCATCATGACCCTGCATCTACCAAAGGTCTCTAAAATTATCAGTAAAAAATGATGTTCTGTTATATTTCTGTAAGAATCTAAAACTGTTGCAGGAAAAAGAACACCAACTCCTCTGAAAAGTTTTTTTTTTTTAAACACACACACACACAGACACACACATTGCCACCATCACATGTAGAGTCGGTGTTGCTGTCGCGTCAGTATCTGATATGACTGTGCCAAAAAAAGCCTGCATTGTTCCTTTAAAGACAGATTCCGTGACAGATTTCCAGGCTAAAAAAGGACAGAGCTGATCTGCTCCATCTGTCACCACTTTACACAGGAACGCCGAGATTTTTCAACAGTTTTCCAATAATTGGAATTGATCCCACGTCATTACACAAATGGACATAGCAGCGTCTGCTGCCAGATAGATCTGCCCTGGCTCCTTCACCTCTACTCAGAATAGAATTCTGAGACGACGTCACATTAATCTTTAGGACTCAGGTGGAAAAGTGACGTTTAAGTGTTTTATTTAAAACACATCAGTGAAGACGTTTGGCTGCGGCCACAGACTCAGAGACCAACAATGAGATCAGTCGATAAACAACTCCTCACGATGTTATCGACTGAACAGCATCTTGGTTTTTTTACATGACTTTCTCTATTTTGACTCCTCTCTACCCTGAGGTTAGTGTTTTTTTTTTAAATTATTTTTGGTGCTTGACACTTTTGCTAATCAGAGAGGAATGGTGGGAATGATCAACATCGTATCCAGTTAAACAACAATGAATCTTCTGTCAACTACAGTTCAATCAACCATCAACTATGTTCTTGCTGTAAACATACACATTTACATAGTTCTTATTCATAACAATTAAAAATACAAATTGAATCAAATTGTCCAATATATTTTGTTCAATTTATTTCTATTCTAGTTCTATAATTTGTCACATTGTGACAAACAAAAGCAACTTTTGTGTTCTCTGTTCATCCTCTGTCTTTTGTTTCTGAGTGAATAATCTTTTGGATTGTTCTTTAAACTCATATTTGGTATTGATTCTCACTGGCCCATCAATCACAATTACAACAAAAAATAAACATTATTTTTCTCCATGGACAGTTCTGTGGGCTAAAATCACTGATTTTTTCTATGGACTTTGGTCTGAGCTAAAATCACTGATTTTCTCTATGGACTTTGGTCTGTGAGCTAAAATCACTGATTTAAACTCAGTCTGGCACTGAGATAATGATGTGAATAGACTTCGACAGATAATTGCTGTTAAATTAATTGTTGAATCTTTGGATAAATGTGAAAGCTTTCCTGCTTCCTCTGTTGCTGGTATTTTCAGTGAGACGCCAACTGTTTGTCTTTCAGGTGGGTCCACAGAAGTATGTTTGCTCAGTGAAGTCACCACTGATAACATGTGACTAACCCACAAAACCTGAATTGTCCTTTTAAAATGAAGCCACAGAGGAGAAATCTCGGGTCTTTGTTTTCTGTTAAATCAGAGAGAAGGAGATCATGTGATCAGGTCTGAGTCCCTAACAATTCAGTCATTAAAAAATAAATGTTGTTAGAATCTGACAGGAAACAAACTTCAACACGACCTCGTCTTCATATCTCTGACCCACTTCAAAGAGATGTCAATGAGTGAAACTGGGCAAAGGTCGGCCCTCAGTGGCACGTGATAAACATGGACACACACGCACACGATTCAAACACATTCCGTCATAGACAATATTATCTACAGTACTGTCTTGTATTGTATCGTATAGTACTGTAATGTAGGACTGGGCAATTAATTGAAATTCAATTCAATTAGGATTTTGGCTTACCACGATCAGGAAAACAAAAAATTATTATTGTGCCAATCATGTGATGTCAATGCAGCAGTACACACTACGACGGTGTGCTGCAACCCCCGACCCCTACTTCTCCCCCAATACAAACCCAAGTAGTTTCATTTTCAGCATGTTTTGAGAGAGAGAGATTTTTATTTGTAATATATTCATATATTTTGCAGTGGAGCGGTGAAATTATTGTTTGGTGAAATTATTTATTCATTTTATCGTTTTATTTTTGTTAAGTCAATAGACGCTGTTGTTGGCCACAGCGCACACTAAAGCCTACGGACCGCGGCTCCCAACGACAGAACAGAACAAAATGCACACGTGCACTAACTTGGTGAGTTCAAGGCACCCAGGAAAATGGAGTAAACAGCAGAACAGTCATTTCAGGAACAATATTGGCAATAACACAACATAAGTCTACATCCACCCAACAAGTTACAATATTATTAATATTTTTCCACTTTGTCTAAGTTTTTTTTTTTTTTTTTTAAATCACTTTAACGTTCAATGACCTTTAAAAGAGTCGCACTTGAGCTGCACACACACAGAGTTCAGACTTGACTTGATTTGCAAACTGATTTTGGGACTTGTGACCAATCATTATGTTTTCTATTTTTGGCATATTAATATTGAGTAAACTTTAAAATGTCAGACAAGCTTCCTTTTTCTGTCATGGTAACCTTATTACACGGCTCAGGACCTCACATATGTCGATGATGGTAACACTACGGCAACCGGCGCACCTGAATCCAGCTGAGCAGTATTAGCATCAGACAATAGAAAGTTCAATACAAGTCTCACCACACAAAGACATGACTTGGACTTGCAAAAAAAGAACATCTGTGGTTCTCACTGAACACTGATGGACGTCATGTTTAAATTACAGTCTGATCTTGTGTTTAGGCAGTCTGTAAAAGCAGGACTAGTCTGAGGACCCGACTGTAGAATGACTCTAATCCAGGCGTGGGCAAACTTTGACTCCTGGGCCACAATTGTCCTAAAATTGAACACGGGGTCCGGGTCAGGAGCAGAGAGATGGAGCGTTCGTGTGAATTAAGGTAAATGACAAAAATCATGCATACATGCTAAAATGCTCTTAGCATTTTCTACGTATCTATTGGGGAAACGTAGGTATTGCAGGGAAAAGTATAATGATAACAAGTTTGGCCGGCCAGATTAAAAAGCTGAACACGCCTAATCTGACCCCCGGGCCTTAGTTTGCCAATGTGTGTTCTAATCCATTCATTCTGTCCCGACAAATACAGAAACCTTAGAGATGATGATAATTCTGTGTCTGTTCATGCAACAGGAATTTATTTATATATTTTATAAAAGGCAACAGACTGAAAGTGTTAAAAATAAAATATTTGGAAGCAGCAGCAGTGTGGAGAAAAAAACAGGAGGCAAAAATCAGCTTCTACTGTGAGACATGTTCTCCTTCATTAAACCTGAACAACAAAAACAACCTGCACAGGTGAAAAAACACAGTCCTGGCAACGACGACGTCTCAGGAGATTTCCATCTATGCCGCTGTTATTCCTGACACTGACAGCAGGGGCGTGCACGCTTACACACACACACAGAAATACACTGAGGCAGAGACAGAGAGATTTATCAGCTGATGGAAACCGAAATGTCACTCTGTAGCACTTTTAATCTGCGGAAACAGAAACAGCTGACAGGCGGCAGCTGATTGAATTTAAACGGCTGCTCAGAAACACGACCTGATTTATCAGCCGCAGCTCCGAGAAGGAAAAAAAATAAAAAAATAAAATGAAATAAATTCACATTTGTTCAAAGATCAGGTTCCATTTGTTTACATGTTTGTTTGTGTCACTCCAGGTCCCTGGTCTTTGTCAGGGTTTTATTTCAACAGAGCTGTTTTCAGGGCTGTTTGTGTCTGGACTTCAAACTCACAAGATTGTCAATGTTAAATATAATCAACTGTGAACACACAAGTCCGTGACAGTGGAGTGTGGTGACACCTTCATGGGCCTTTACCAACGAATCCTCAAACCAGACTTAGTCCTGAGAGCACGCGAAAAAACACAAAGCAAAAAAATTAATTAATTAAATTAATTTTAAAAAAAAAACTCAACTAAAACACTTCAGTTTTAGTTTTATTTGAGGACTACACACGTGCAGAATATTATTTAAGTTAATTTTTTTATATATCATAAATATCTGTAATATGAACAGATGTTTTTACCACCCACAGGAAGGTTCAGGGGTGTTGGTACAGTGCAATGTGATTTGGGTGGCAGTCATGGAGACTGCTGCCCCCATGACCCGACATAAAACAGTACAGTGCAATACAATAATAATATATAGAAACATGGCAAATTATACATATAATTACTATAAAATAATATGGATGATGGATACTGTATGTAGGAGCTAGTTCGCTAATGCTAACATGTTTGCTGAAGTTTTTGCTAGTATTTTAAACATTTCACAGTTAACAATAAATTACCCACACTACTTGAGCGGCACCAGAGTCATTAGCATGTGAGCTAAAAGAGCTAACAGGATGAGCACCTCACGTCATTGCTAGGCTGGATGTTTTCACTGTGTCAGTGGACAACAACGATTTGTTAAAAATAAATAAATAAAATGTTGACCAGTTCAAATATAACAGATTTCATAACTCAAAAGTATTTCAGCACAAAGAAGCTGAACTGAGGGAGTATGAAGCACTTTTAGCTGCAGCAGTTAGCAAGTAGGCTAAAAACAAGGAGTCATTATTGGTTTTATATATATGTATAGTTTCTTTGGCTTTACAATACTATCTACCTCGGCCGCCAACACACCCACCCCAAACACAGAGTGAAAGCATGGTTGTATTGTATAAGGATTCCTTTTGACCTTTTAATCTGTTACAGTTTAAAGGTGGGCGGAGCCACATACGACACGGCGACCCTATCAGAGAGCTCAGCAACATTTAAAACATGATCTTAACCAACAAAAACACACAAAGTTGTTTTAGGCTTCTGTTAACTTCTCAGAGTTTCTAAGACAACATTCTCATCCTCCTCCTCATTCATTCATTCATTCATATTATCCTGTTAAAGTACAAGTGTTTATTGTCACACATCGCAATGTGCCCTCTGCCTTTAACGCACCTCAGTGGCACCTGGTGGATTCGAACCTGCAAACCTCCAGACACAAGTTTGCTGCCTTAACCACCAGGCCACCACTGCCCCTAAATGGAACAGAAAATGGAAGGTTCCTGCAGCTGCTCCTCGCTCTGACTTCACGTTCTAATCTCTGAGCAGTGAAGTGAGGCTGTTCCTGCAGCTTCATCATTTGCATCTGATTATGATTTTAATAAAAGGTGAAGAGTGGCCTTGCTATTCAGGAGTTGACGGAGCAAAACCTCGTCCTTCAGCAGAAAAGGTGGAAGTTACATTAAAAAAGTTTAATGATGATGAAGAGGAAAACTTTTGAGAGGAGGAGGTGGAGGAGAAAAGATGAAGGAGGAGGTGGAGAATTCTCAAATGTAGAATTCTTTCAGAGATGTTCATCTATAGTATGTGGGAGGCTTTTTGACTATTTTATATCCATCGCTGCCTCCTCTGTTGGTCCTCTTTTCATTTTATTGAAAAATGTTCTCACTATCATCACTTTTTAATTCAGCACACAACCACTCAAGTTAATGAGTTAGGACGCTCCCTAACCACCAGTGCTGAACAATGAAAAAGTTTTTTCACAAACAGAGAGACTTAACAAGTCTGTGCTGTTCTAACCTAATGTAACACAGAAACAACACAAACACAAAGCGGCTGTTAAACAACATTTCCAATAATTTCAAACAAACAGCATACATTTTAGAAACAAGACTTTTTTTTCCAAGTTAAACATCTTTGAAATTATAGTAGCAAGGCCTTATGTATGCAGACTAGGACTGAATGCTAGTAATATACTTGATAATGTTAAAATACAATAAAAATATAAACCCAGTAAACGTCCTTTTAACCAGTAAAAGTCCTTTTATCAAGTCGTCAACTTCTAAAATGAGGCTTACAGTTCCTTTGAGCACATTTTCAGGTCCATAAAGCAAGTTAACAAGTACTTAAATCAAACATCCTGGTCCATTTAACAAGTTTCTAGTTTAAGTTGCCAAGTCCTTTAGCCAAGCCCCTGAATGAGTTAGCACAAGCCATAAACTCACGATTGCTAAGGCTAGACTTTGGCTAACAAACAAGCAAACCAACAAATTGTCCAAAAAAAAAAATGGAACCTTGTGCAAAAAAACAGATTAAAGATCTAACCAAGACTAAGATTCAAAACCTTTTTGCCAGATCAAAAAGTCTTTGAGCCAAGCTAACATTTAAAAAATACAAATGAAAAACAACTTATATAAGAAAAAACATTGTAGTTTTTATGGTACATCTTTAAATCAGTTGTATTTTTTAACTTTTGTCCTCTTCTGGCCAACAATTGAACAATCTTTGTTTTTTATATATATATTTTATGGTTTTACGTGTTTAAAGCTCTCATTTCTGACCCTGGATTTTTAAATGATTGAACAGAGTTTGTCAGATTATAGATGACAACGACTTTATGCCAGGATCGACCACAGTTTAAACGGGTGATTAAAAATGGCAGGCTTTTGAAAAATAAATGCTAGAGTTTGTCAATGTAGAAATCGTGATATCCTACCCCCACCTCATCACTTAACCTCATATTCCTCCGCCTGGTTTGACCACATCATTAACACAACCAGGTGCAACGCAGGAAATAGTTCTTGATCCACACAAACATTAAACAGCTAAAAACAGTTAAAACCTCAGAAGAGCAAATAAATATAACCTTTAAAGACTCATTTTAATATTTATCTGATCTCAGAAACAGTGTTTGAAAAAGAACAAGGTTTTAAAATGCAGCTCAGAATGACAATGTCTGAAACATAATTAAAGAATAAAATAATTGAAACATCTGTCTACGTTTTGACCCTTTAACTCCAGTTAACGTTACACACATTTCAAAGTCCTACCTGCAGCTCCAGCTCCTGCTTCTCCTCTTTTTCTTCGACCAGATGAACTCCAGCTCCTGTTGCTGCAGCAGCCTGTGTGTCAGCGTAAACTTTATTCCATCATCAGCGTCTCTCCTTCCACTGAAACACGAACTGTTTCTTTCTCTCTGGATCAAACTCCTCGGGCAACAGGTGTTTGATTTCACCTGCAGGAACAAGAACTGACCCTTCAGTAGATGATCCACTCAGAGTCCAACCTCCAGCAGCAGGCACCGCCTCCCCGCTCCCGCTCCTCCTTCTGCTCCGCCTCTCACCGCTGCTGTTTACGCTCTCACGTTGAAGGTCCATAGGGTTGGATTTAGCGACATCTAGAGAGTCAGTTCCATTTTGAGTTTTTATAATCTCACAAATTAAAAATAAGGTATTGGTTCACATCATAATAAAATATGTGGTTTGTTTATTCACTTTTAACTTTGTCAGAAAAAAAAGAGACAAAGAAAATGCCATTTACTGACCTAGAAAAGTGTCCAGTTGGTCAGTGGGTCACATCCAATTAGTAGTATTTTTCTGAAATTTGTACCCATAATAATTTTTTTTTTAAAAGTATAGATATACCAGGAACACACACAGCCAAGCGCACATATGCAGACACACAGATCGACTCAGGGATTGTATTTATTCAGAGACACGCCCTTCACATCCTCCCGCTTGGTGACCACCAGCAGGGGGCGGCCTTCACCTTCACCTGGTCTGAGTGTCCGAACAGAGGTTACAGAAACCAGTTGTGTTCATTCAGAGGAGAAACGTTTTAAAAAGAAACTAAAGCCCGTTTATCAGAAGAGCTTGAACGTTTTTTTCTCTCAGGTCAAGAACTAATGTCCTCAGAAAACTTCATCTAAAATTAAATCTGTGTTCAATTCTGCTCAGAAAACAAACAAGAAAAAAAAAGCTAGAGCTCCTTCACAAAGAGAATAATGAAGGTAAAGCAGAGCGGGAGAGAAAGGTTTTCCACAAAACTGAATTAATGTTTGTATTTATTGTAGAAAACAAATGCTTTTATTTAAAAAAAACACATGAGTACAAACAGACAAAGTCTTTGGTTGTCAGGGTGTATATTAGGGTTTGTTTATGATTAGTTTCATTTATACAAATATAAATTATATTACTTAGTTTTAGCTGTAAACATTTCAGTAATAAAGTATTGTTTTACTACTGAAACGGATAAATATTTCAGAAAATACAACTTTGCTTTAATTTTCGACAGCAGTTGAGAAAAACCTGAACAAAATGTATTTCTATTTCTTCACTGTTAACATTTGAAATAAAAAAACTTAAACTATAAATGTCAGTGACTCAAAGAATTTTTACATTTTAAAATTCTGTAAACCTTCCACAATCAAATGACAAAAAAAAACACAACACAAAAAATCTATAATGCAATGTAAATTGATTCTTGAAACAGAAATATTATATTTCTGTAATTACCAACCACTTTGTAAAAATAATGAACTCAAGCTTTGATTGTTTGTGTTTTTTTGTGCTAACATGAACAAAAAATGTGCAAACAAGTACTTGTAAAGTGATATTTCCAACACGTGCTAATTATGTATTATCTCTAGAATGACAAATAAAAAATATATATATAGTAAGCTTCTTGCAAGTTCAAATTGGCTAAAAACATGCAGAAAAGCTGAGAAAATGTTTTGGATTTTTATTGTACTGTTAAAGTACTGAACTCAAATTTGTCTTCATAATACGCTCCAGCTGTAGAAGACAACTCGGACACACGGACGTTATTTAATCTTCACTATACTCTGTTTTTGAATAACTGCCTCCAACTGCCCCCCAGGGGACAAATACATTATTTAAATCTGAAACGCTGCACAATTTTGTGATTATTTTGTTTCACTTTCAGAAACTGAAGGTAAACAGGAAGTAACAGCCTGAGAGACCCCCACCAGTCAGCAGCCATCTTTAGTTCAGTCGCCAAAATCTGGGATGTCGTCATAGGAGTAACCACGAAAACCCTTGTAGGCATAGTAGGCGATCCTCAGGTGGTAAAAACCAGGAAGGAAAACCAAGATTCCAATAATGATGACGGGAATGGTCCGTTCTGAATGCTGAGAAGAAGACGTTTTTTTTTTAAGTCATATACGTAAATACTGTGATTGTCAAAGTGGGACAGAATACCCATAGGATCTGACATTTACCTGTCCAGGTCAGAATGAATGGATGCCATGGGATAACAGGAAGACATATTTTCTTATCATTGTCTTTTTACATTAATACTCATCACACATGGGTTTCTTTAGTTTTTTTAAGAAACAACAGGTTTTTTAACCATTCAGTCTCCTATACCAGACCTCATCAGTGATTTTACCTCACAGACCAAAGTCCAAAGAGAAAACCAGCTTTTTAAATTCACAGACTAAGTCCAAGGATACAAATTACTCCATTCAGTTTACAGGTACACAGTAGCTTCTGGTCTAATGTTGCCTTCATTATCCAAGTTCAAATGGGTAATTTTGATAGCACTGTGTGACATGCCCTCCGGTCCAATGAACTCACACAGAGGCTAAAAGACACCACCCTACTGACTGAAACATTCCAATAACGACTTTCTACATACTCCACAGAGGTCTATCAAGAAACTGGCCATTTTTAGTGAAAAAGACAAAACAGATGCTGAGCCACTGCTTCCTCCATTTGTGTTTCTCTGACTTCGAAATTGAATAAATGGTCGGATATGCAGTGTCTCAAACTTACCACAGGGGACAGCAGTGGATCAGCTGTTTTCTCTGTGAGCTGAAACGGATGTTCTCTGAGAACATTGGTGTCTGAGAGTGTGGTTTTAAAAGGTCTTTACTATTTAAGTGAGTATAATAGTGAAATACAGCAGCAGCAGAACAATGATAGAAAAAATATTTTATTATGAAATGTTATATGTGTGTAATTTAAGCTTGAGTGTCTTGTTGCAGGCAGGTGACATCAGTGTTGATGTCACGTTGTGTCAATCCATTATACAGAAACACTGTTTAAAAAAGTGTGCCCTGGCCCCATAACAGCAGGCTCAATCAGATCTGCTTTTTCTCCTCCTGAGCAAAAAAGACTGAAGAACATTTCACAAAGGCTCCATGACTTCATCATCCCTTAGATCTAGTTTCATGTCAATCAAACAGCAGAAACCCAGCATCTCCCCAACACTCACACAGTGTTGTTAAAAACAGTGGAGTGCTTAAATTCACCAGCAGATGGTACTCTATTGTCTTGACAACTTTTTAGTTTAGAGTTTTTTATCAAAAAAAACAAAAAAACAGTGTACTGATAAAATAAATAAATAAATCTAAATAAATTATCTAAATTAAACAGGTAATTGCATTATTTGTTTTCTGTCTTTTAGAATAAAAGTGAAGACTGTGAGCTGCTCAAACTCCAAAAACAAAGTTCAGGGATTTTAAGTTTACAGAAACACAGTTGTTGATGATACACTGCTGTCTCCATCATTGACTTCACTGTTGGAAATCATATGTTCACATTTACCTCAGTGACACAAACCACAGGAGTCGGTACTGAAACAACGGCTATCAGCAGCTAAAATCACAGATTTTACCTATGAGGTTTGGTCTATGGCTTGGTGACCTCAAATGGTTTACAAACTTCCTAAATTTGGTCACAAGCTTTATATTATATAAAATCTCACCTCTACTTCTATAGTTCCTGTCAGGAGAAGAGCCCCAAAGATGATCAGTAAGGAGCCAATCAGAAACAGGAACACAGCCAGGGCGATGGCTTTGTAAGGAACCTTTGGAGGACTCTTCTTGAACTTGTTGGAAAAAGAACAGGTCATATTGTGTTAATGAACAAAACTGTAGCTCTATCTTCAAAATTAAATACTAATCTTAACCAAAACTTTTTTTCTGAACATGAAAAACACTGGTTTGACAGACATGTTATCATTTATAATTTACTGAAGGCAAAAAATGTTAATTAAAAAGTTCCTTAATTTCCTGAAGGGAACTCCCAAGGGATTAATAAAGTTCTATCTATCTATCTATCTATCTATCTATCTATCTATCTATCTATCTATCTATCTATCTATCTATCTAAGTTTCTTCTTCCAGCTGTTTTAAATATTGCATGGTTTCAGACAGCCGTGCAAAGTTAGACAGAAATATTTAGAATACTTTGACATTATTAATTTAAATACCAATAGATTTTGCTCAGAATACACCTGCCAATCATACTGTTTAGAAATGCGTTATCCACATGATACTAAGAATTTTTTTTTGTAAATGTACAGTACAAGCTCAATATTTGTCCACTCATCATTTGTGTGAATCAAGCCAGATGATTCAGATGATTTTTTTTCAGGAGAAAAAATTAATGTGAGGCCTTGGAGGAATTCTAAAATTATTGTTCTTACCTGTAAGTCGATGTATCCATCATCATCAGCAGCGAGCCGTGAATATTTGACCTTGTTGTTGGACGGAGCAGCAGCTAACAAGTTAGTTCTGGCTGCCATCATTCTGTCACTGTAACTGCAGAAGAAAATTAAAAACATTTGACTTCTTTCCATGGAGCTTCCTATGAATCCTCACTCAACCTTTTGCTTATTTTATTTTGTTTTGATTCCCATTCTTTTTCAATTCACTTATCTTAAGACATAATATTCAAAGTCATGCAGGACTGAAGGCCAAGCAAGTGTAGGATTCAAACTAGCTTCAAATAATGTAACTTTTAACTAAAAATAGAGTTTGAATCCTTACATCACAGGGTCAGGGACAAGATGGGGTGGGGGAAAGAGGAAGAGGAGAAGGAAAAGGTAAAGGAAGAGGACAAATCTAAGGTGGAAGAAAAAAACAAGATGTAAATGATTAATGGTAGGGGGAGGGGGTCGGAAGAAAAAGGATGGAGAGGTTAAAAACTAAAAGAAATGAGGACAATTTAAAAAAGACAGTAGGAGAGGAAAAGATGAGGATAGAAATAAAGGAATATATTTTCATGACATGAGTTTTAAAAAACCTGCTGACAAGACGCAGTGTTTATATTTACTGTTTATATTTAGTATCATAATGTAAATAAATAGTTTTTCTGAAAACCATAAAACGGTTAACGGTAGAATAAAAAAACATTAGCCGACAGTTAACTTGATGACAGTTAATTAAATGTCGAGGTGAGTCTTTCGTGACGTCACAACGATTTATAGACGGCGTATGCCTTAGCCTTAGCTGCATATCTAAATAAGTTATTTAATCAAACACCGCACACTGCTAAGTTAAAACGTGATAGTCTGTTACTGCTGTGATAGCTTCTTACCTTGATATGGCTGCAGTCGAAATCAGCAAATTGAGTTAAAAGCCGAGACAACGTCACATTTCAGAGACTTTTTTTAGCCACTGTGGAGAAAAACAAAACAATACGTTCTACTTCCGGGTCTTCCTCTGCATCGGGTTATACGCATGCGTGGTGAACTCAAGACTATAATACGAAAAAGTACGAGTTATTCATTATTATTATTATTAAGGACGACGTTTTTTTTTCATTTTGAATTTCGATATAATATGTAAAACTGATAGTTTTATAAATAAAACGTAGACAGTACAAAAACATGTCTAAGCACACTAACTGGAATACAACTCACAAAAAAAGAATGTAATATTGTGCAATACAATTCATAACTTATGTAACTTGTATTTGCCTCTTTAAAAATCCAACGGAATAACCAAAGGATTTTTTATTTTATTTATTTATTTTTGCTTTAATGATTATTTAGCCCATTATGTTATACAACATTTGACATGTGACTAATTTTAAGATAAATGTTAACAGGTTGAACAGGCTTTGATTTTGGTTCACTTTGGTTAACTCTCTTTACTAACCATGAATAATTATTTGGTTAATTTTGCAGCTCTACGGGCTAACTCTCAGCCCACTTGCAAAATTGTTGATTTGTGTTGAACATGTTATAATAATAATAATATAATACATTTTATTTCATAGGAGCCTTTCTGGCAAAGCTTTGCTAACATATAGCTATTCTGGATTCCTTTTAGGGCATGAATTTGTTATATTTTGATAAAAGTATGTCTGATTTTACCTTTTCCAGCAGGTATTTTAGCAGTTTTATGAAAATTTGTGTAGCTCACGTTCTTAATTTGTTTATTTAAATTTCTTTAGGGCCTAATCAACCAGTAGCTTCTGTATTCAATCTGAATCTGATTTAGCAATAGTTGAAATTATTTTCAAGAATTCATCCAGAACATTAAAGGACATTTTTCTCTCCTTGCTGATTTACGTTATCTGAAAATGATTGCTTTTTATTTCTCTGTTACTCAGTCATTGATAGGTTACCTCTGTTTAACACATTGTCTGACAGGTGAAAAAAAGTCTGCTCCTGAACAAAGACACTAAGAATAATATATATATTTCATGCTACAAAGCTGACATGTAGACACCAAGAGGCACATGTCTGTGTTTGTTTGCTTAGATAAATATTTCTATCCATCAGTCATGTCTGAAGTCTGCCTCAATGACTCCTTGACAGTTATTTAAAGCTGCAGGCTTGGGTCATTTTTCATTTTTATCTTCCTTCTCTGTTTCTATTCCAGTCCCCTGTCAGAGGCCAAAGATGGCAGGAGGTGAATTTTAAAAAATACTCATTTTAAATTGCATTTTCTCATCTGTGAGAGCTTTCACTGATGAATCACAGCCATCACCACTGATATTTTCTCCTCTGGAATCACCGTCAGATGCTTTAACATCCTGCACTCTGAGTTCTGCAGCAGCAACAAAATCAGATTAAGGTCCACGTCCTCAGCAACAAAATCAGATTAAGGTCCACGACAGAAACAGAAGGTGGAGGACCACCTTCTGTTTCTGTCTCTACACACAGTGGCAGGGCTGTGCACGCCAACGTCTATGTGTAACTTGTCAGAGCAGCTTGGCATTCTGGGAAAAAGTCAATGACATTAAACAAGGAAGACGGGGAATGTCAAACAGACTGTGCAAAAAAGGAAACTGTTACTGAGATGGAGTAGAAAAGGAGGGAAGAACGGAGGGTTAAGGAAAGGACTGAAATAGGACAGAGGTAAAGGAAGACAGAAAGAAAGGAAGGAAGAATTAAGGACCTAATGTCCTCCATCAATGAACGTTCCTCGGAGTCTAAACAACAGATAGATTTTATCTGAGATGATTGAATGAGGACGAAGCAAACAAACAAACACAGAGCTGTTTCTCATTTGTAAATGTTCGTCCGGTCTTTAAAGATCTATGCATCAGATCATTACAGTAGAGGTGAGACAGCCCTGTAATGAAAAAGAGAGAGAGTCCAAGGAGTTTCTGAAATTAGTTTGAAGGAGAAAGTGAATGAATACAGAATTGTCAGAGAGGATACTGGGGAGAAAAATGTCATTATTTTTGTCTCAGTCACCCAGGTCATTTCAAATCTCAGTAGAGTACAGGTAGACAACTGGAGGATTAGTCCAGTGTTTCCCAACTGTTTGTGTGGCACGGCACATATTTTATATTTTATGATAGAAAACAAAAATCTGACAAATAGTAAATCTAATAAAATATAATAATCTTCTAGTTTAAATTTACTCCCAGTTCACTAAAATCTTGGCCTGTTTAGTTTGATACAACACTGATATATTGGCAGGAATTGAAGAAAGACACAAAGATCTTCTTCAACAGCTCTGGTTCTCTTTTTTTTTTCATAGCCATCAGCTGCCACCTAGAGGAGAACTATTTAATTGTTCTGCCGGCCACGCATTGACAAACAAAGAAAAATTATTTGCAATTTATAAATAATATTTTTAGACCAATTAAGTGTAATTGGATCATTTTCTACAGCACACCAAATGATCTCTCACAGCACACTAGTGCACAACGGCAGTGGGAATCACGGATTAGTGGGCAATACAGTGGAGGATTGGTGGCTGCCCTTGATTCACAGCTAGATGGTCCCCTGTTCAAGTCCCATTTCAAACTGCTACTCTTTCTGTATGGAGTTCTTATGCTCTCTGTGTGAGGGGTCCTGGTGGGTTTCTCTCCCACTCTCTTAGGTTAATTGTTCACGCTACCCTACACTGGTGGACGTTCAGGGTGTAGGAGACTAAGGGTTAGTCTCACCATGACTAACAATGTGTCAACCAGAGAGTCTAACAGTGAATGTAACAGAGAGTCTAACAGCGATTCTAGCATTGATTCTAACAGAGAGTCTAACAGACAGATAAATTATTCAACAAAGTCCTGAGGTAATGTTGCTGAATCATTGGTCAAATGTTACCAAATATTGGCAATTATTTTCCACCACAATACTTATTTTCACAGAGAGTAAGTTTGTACCTTAAACAATCACTTTGGAAAACTGACACAGACATATTTCAAACAGTGAGACCATCAGTGAAATGACTTTTTCAGGAACATGTAGGGTCTTTGAAGGCAGCACCTGAGTCCTGATGGTGCTTTATTGTTGTCAGATTCGGGGGACCATCAGTTCAACAGTGGACTAATGAACGCAGCAGTGTAGGCTCAGTCCAATAAAACCTCAGCTATGACAAATAGGCTGTTATTCTTTTGTCAGCTTTTCGTTTTTCAGGTTTGGTTATATATGAGGCCTGTGTCTGAAATGGCTAAGGGCAGGGGCAGTAGGGTCGAGTGCCTGTTAAGGTTCAGTTCAATGGGTTTTTATAAGGTCAGCTTGTATGACGTAATGATGTTCCAGTCCCCTTCTGTGGACCACAAGACCAGAAAAAAAACAACGATCACTTCTACTGTTGACTCAGACAAAATAATCTACTTTGTCTTCAGTTTCTAATACATTAGTCTGTGGGTTTTATTAGGAACTGATTTTTGTAAACCATTTCCTGCTAGTTTAAGCACACAGACCAAAGTCCATAGAGAAAATCAGTGATTTTAGCTCAGAGAAAATCAATATGCAAAACTGTAATTTTCTGCTCCTGACAAAGCACCTGTTGATCCACTGCTGCCTCCTGCGGTCAGTTGATGTCACTAAGGTAAATCTGAACAAAGAATTTCAAACAGCAAATTCACAAAATATGTAGAACTTAGTAGTAGTCACGGAGTCAACCACAGACCAACAGCTGCTGTGTCTCTCAGTTTTTATAGACCTCTGTGTAGTAAAATAGATGTTCAACCTAAGGTTCCTGGTTAGAAACATCTCTAACAGTCACAAAAATCAATCAACAGTGACATATATTATTTTCACCTCTAGGTCCTTTGAGCATGAAAACTAGTCGAGTGTGTTTTGTTGGAATGTTTTATTGTCTGTCTGTGTGTGAGTTCATTAGAGCATAGGGCATGTGGGGGGGGGGGCAGGAGGTGGGGCTTGAATGGATCAGGTGGGGAGGTCCACTGTGCCTACATTCTCACTCTAGGAGTAAAAGAGAGAAGGATGAGGACTGATGCAGGATGAGGGGTGGCTGGATAGATGGATGAGTAAGGGGACGGAGTGAGTGATCGCCCGACTCCAGCTGTACGTGCCGTTGGTAACTGACACGTCCACGCCTGACTTTCGCCTCCTCTCTCCTCCTCTGTGATTCTTCTCCAATGCAGGACACACATGGACGCTCCCTGCAGCAGGTAGCATTGCTCTCCTCCTCATTTCCCATCATCCTGCAGCTCATTTCACACACTCTGACTCTCCATAATGGATGATGATTTAAACAGTTTCTAATTGTTTCCAGTCGGTGTTAGTGTGAAGGTGTTTTTAACTGATGAAGATGTTGTAAAATTGCTCCATTTGCTAATGACTATGGCTCATATTTCATAATGAAGAACATTTACTTCAGGCTCTTTCACCGACTCCTCGTTTATATCCACGTTCACATCATTTACAGACTCAATAGGTAAGGACAATGACAAGAAAAATTAAATGAAAACACAAAGCTAATTATTCCTTCTTTAACGATTGTTTTGAAATTGTTCCGCAGATAAATGTCATGTTTTGTTTACTTCTGCTGAATTCACCAAAAGGTCAGTGTGTAGTTCTGTGACTGTGTAGAGTTTGTTCGGATAATTAATGTCATGCTGTGGTTCTTTCTCCAGTTGTGGGTTTTTATTTTGACTTAATTCATGGTTTGTTTATAATAATGAGCGTAATGATTAAAATAAATCTGTCATTTGATTAAGCAAAACATTTTTGATTAAGAAATATTCCTTCTTTAATCAGTGGTGGTCCCTGTGAACTAAAACGACTTCAGGGAAGAGGAGTCAGAGTTTAATGAACTTGTTTCAACATTGACACATTTTACTTGGGAAATATTCAGTATATGACTTTGACTATGTGACTTTTCTCAATGGACTTTGGTTTGAGAGAATCATTAGTTTACATGGATGTGTTTCCTGTTGTAAATGTGGGTCGAACAAAAACGTTTAACACGGTTAACAGTTAAAAATAAACTCCCCACAAAAAATAACACACCGTCTATTTTTAATTAATGTTTTCACCAGAACCAGAGGTGAAGAATATACTGTACACAGATCAAGACCAAACAAGGGCGTGACGAGGACATAACGGACCGGCCCCTGATCCCTCAGGGCTGAGGGTAAAAGAATGGTGTGTGAGCTTTATGAGAAAAGCAACCATGCAGGAAGAACAATGATGACTCTGCTGAAGGTCTGCGGACGTCAGGCCGAGGAAGTGAGCCTTGAAACTGTCGGTGATATTACTGCGGCAGAGGCTGTGACCAGTGGCAGAACCCTGCTTGGTACTGGTGTCAGTGCAGCAGATGTCACCCAGTCTGACAGATGGCTCTGCAAACAGGAAGAGAATGAAGTGGTGATGAAAAAAAGGAGGCCGCTGTGTCGCGTTTATGTTCCGGATCAACTGTTTTCACTAATGTTCCACTAACTGTGTCACCCTTCAACCAAAGTCCACGAAGCTTTACTGTGAGTGGAACTTTATGAATTTTGGAACTTTATGTCTGTCATGGTCAAAAGGCCCAGCCTGAGATCACTTCAAGATGAGTGTCTGAACTGCTGTACTGGAACAGTACCATTTAAGGAAAAAGTACCAGGGATAAGAACCGTGTCAGTTTCCTCTGCTAAGACTAGTGCCAGAACTAGGGCCCAAACCAGACATGCTCTATACATCAGTATCAAGAATATTCATATTTAATACTGCAGAAAACAGAACCAGGAGCAAGAGACAGAGACAGAACCAGGACTATGTTGAGTGGACTCACTGGACAAGGGCTGATGTTTCAGGAGTCTTCTCAAGTCAGCTAAAGGTGAGAAGCCAAAACCTTCATTAGTGTCATCGGGCATCAGGTGGACATACGTCTGCCTCCTACTGGTGATCATTAAAAATCCTCTGCCTTATTTCATCTTTATCCTGTTGTGGTTTCCACATCGTTCCACATCATCAGCCAGCTCATACGTTCCTCAGAGATTTTTCCATGGCATCCTTTGACAGCACAGCACCACTGTTGGAGTGACAGGAATCAAAGCACAAGATCAGTGGTGTTATTACTGTAGGAGCGACCTCAGAAGAAGAGCTGGACCGCTGCTGCTCTGGGAGCAGCCAGGAACTCCTGACTCAGACGGGGAATCCCACTGTGATTTATTAAATGAATGTCTTGTCTTTGCACAAAAGAAATAAAACTGTCATATTATTGTTTTTGTTATTATTTATTATTTCAGCTAAACCTAGAAATAAGGAAAAAAAGCTGTAAATCACAGCTGGTTACAGCAGTGTAACGACGATGAAGGTTTTTATGAGCTTTGTGTTAATCATGCAACACATTAGTGCCAATGAGTGGGTTTGGGGCTTAAATTTATAAATCTGTGGTTAAATAAACTCTAAATCCTTTGTTTTTGTTTTCCCAGGTGTCGTGTAATAATGTAGTTCAGCATGGATGAGCCTGAAATCCCAAATCCGTCTCTGTTGGCTGTTTCTGCTGGGCTCTAATGGACTAAACACAACAGACTGTGGCGGAGCAGCGAGTTCTGACGGTGACATTCTGCCAGGAAACTACGGCCAACTCCACATACGAGGAGTAAAATGTTTGGCAGAAGAACCTCGTCCACAAATGATCAGTAGCAGTTTTCGCAGCAGAAGCCTTGAACAGCTGCTTCAGTAGAAGCAGAAACAGACGGGGACTGCAGCCTCTGCTCCAGGGACCGATGACGCACCAGTGTGGCTGACAACCAGGAGCAGAATCTTATATATTAGCAGGCCGTTTGAGATGTTTCCTGATGAGAACTCCACTCTTTTCTCCACCTCAGACCGGGATACTAACCGCAGCTCCATCTCCACCAGTTCAGACGTGGACGTGACTAAACTGGTGGCTCTGGGTGCAGTGTTGGTGGTGTTCGCTGTGTTCGGGGTCCTCGGTAACATCCTGGTCATCTTGTCAGTGCTGCTCCATCGACACTGGCGCTCCGTGACCCATTACTTCATCGCTAACCTGGCGGCAGCAGACCTGCTGCTCAGCTCCGCTGTGATGCCCTTCTCTGCTGCCTCAGAAGCTCTGGGCAAGTGGGTGTTTGGACGAACCTTCTGTGGCGTCTGGGCAGCTCTGGATGTTCTCTGCTGCACCGCCTCCATCCTCAGCCTGTGTGTGATCTCCATTGATCGCTACCTAGCCGTCAGCTACCCTCTGCGCTACCCAGCAATGGCTACAGGGCGGCGCAGTCTGACCGCGGTGGCTGCTCTGTGGGGGCTCTCTGCAGCCATTTCTGTAGGACCTCTGTTCGGCTGGAAGGAACCCGACCCTGAAGATGAAACTGAGTGTAGGATCACAGAAGAACCCGGCTACGCCTTGTTCTCAGCACTGGGTTCTTTCTACATCCCTCTGGCCATCATCCTGTCCATGTACTGTCGAGTTTACACGGTGGTCAAAAAGGAGAACAGTACCATCAGTAAGGGCAGCCAGGTGGAAGGGGTGGAAACAGAAGGGGTGGTGCTGAGGATTCACAGAGGAAATGCTGCTCAGACCAGTGAGGAGACAACCAGGAAGAAGAAACACTTCACCTTCTCTCTACCCAAGCTGCTCAAGTTCAGTCAAGAAGAGAAAGCAGCCAAGACTCTCGGCGTTGTGGTCGGATGCTTCATTCTCTGCTGGCTCCCTTTCTTCCTGGTGCTTCCCATTGGTAAAGTAGTTCTTCTCTAAACCTGATCAAACTGTCTTAACCAAGATAACTGTGCTGGAAAACTAGATTTGAACGTTAGGAGGTTTTGACTGATAACTAATTATTCAGTTCAAATAACTCAGTGTTGTGGTGGTTTGAAGAAGTGATTTTAATATCAATAACTGGATGAGGGTTATTAAGGACTTGGGAGACCCTCATTCAGCCCCTGACAATTCAATTATGTTCATCTGTCAATCTGTAACACATCACATCTCTGACACCACCAAAAAATATATCAACACAATGTGCTGATTTAAATGTATACGGTCATCTCAGCCATCACTGGACAGTTAGGGAAGAATGTCCTGTATATTTACAGTACGTCAAGGAAAAACCGCCTAAAACGTATGCCTCTAAACCTCCTTCCTATTAACTGTGAATATGGCTGTGAGATCACAGTCCTAACGGTCGTTAGCTGTCTTCTCCAAACGAACGTGATGGCGATTCTGTGGGTAATAATCCAGTGCAAAGAAAAATACAGCATAAATGTGTATGTGATACATATCCAAATGTTCAAGAAGAAGAAGAAGAAAGCCAGAACGATCATAAAAATCTTCATCACGATGTGAAAGTGGATTAAGAGGGAATTCACATATTTCTATAGACTTCCAATCCAAAACCAGTAAAGTCACCAGACAGTGCGTCACTCTGCAGCCCTGACATTTTTACGCCCATGTTTTTATAAAATGAAGTCGTGATAATCCTGGACTTTGGCTTCAGAAATCAGACTGGTAAATATTCAAGGTTACTTAGTTAGAAGTATCACAGTATAGTATAGTATTCAGTAGACAACAAGGCATTGATTGAAAAATCACTGCAGCCCTGCTGTAGAGACACAGCCACACCTCTGGAGTCTTTAAGCACAGTGAAATGAGAAAAAAAAGAAAAAAACTGTTTCTCTCTGCTCATTTAGGGGCTGTTACTGATAAGAACCGTGAGGCTAGACAGGAATCATCGGTCACTCTGTCGCTCTGTGAGGCAGAAAGACCCCTAGAGTGTAGTTATGCATGTCAATTCAGACAGTCATTCGTGCTTCTGAGGAGAACATACACTGAGCTGAGCTCCTCAGACTCAGGTTTCAATAAGCCACTGAATATTTTTCAGTTTCCTCCTTGGTTCTCCTGATGGAAAAGCCTCATTTGTGCAGGAACACTCTGTGGTCGCCTCTCTCCTACTATAGCTGCAGCCATCATAATAATGACTGCAGTCCAACGGTGATGCCAACCGTCCACCTGATTTATTTGACATTCCGCCTCCGCTATGTAGAGGTTCAGGGTGTAGCTAAGAGCTTAGGGTTTTTCAATGCATTTTTATTTCCATTAAACCTTCTACAAGCAGAAGCACCTCAGCATATTTCCCCCTCCTTCCTCCCTGTTCCACTCCCAATGACATCACGTGTGGGTCTGAACGTCAGTCGGACTCATTGGCATTCTCCTCGTGTGCGGATGGATGTTGTGGATCCTGTTCACTCGTTAAATTAAGTATCTCCATCCATTTGTTCTGCACTGCTCAGTTCTCTGCGTCTGCGTTAAAGGCCCAACCCGTCAGTTGCTGCTGCTCCTCTTATATCAGATGACATCAGGAAAAGGAGAAAACAAAAGAAGCCACTCCCCGGCTGCAGGGACAGTTTTTATGTCAATGTCACAGAGCTGGAACACAATCACTGAAGTGGAGAGAAGAAATGACACCTGTAGAAAAAACAACCTGCTGAGGTTCTAGTGTTGCTCCCTCACCCTGCTCTGAGTGCTGTTAGCCGGGTTTGGGTTTAACTAACTTGTCCAGAGACACATCTAGGTGCATCATGTGATCCAGAGATCACATGATGCACCTGGAAGTAATGACTACTCAGTGAGATGTCACGTGAACGTCACCTCCTGTAACGCAGGCACAGAGGCATTAATGACATATTTAGGTTCTGGATGATAACACTGTGCACCAGACTGAAATCACATGTCATCACAGTTCAAAATGTGGTAACACTTATGTTAGATAGCAGTTCTTGGCTATCTTTTAGCCTATTTTGCTGTACATTTTAGCAACTCCATGGATTTCTAGGCTCTGTGTTCTTTTCTTCACCAATACCAGATCTGACTTGTGTCTTCTCTAGGTTCCATCTTTCCCTCCTACAGGCCATCAGAAACCATCTTTAAAATCACCTTCTGGTTGGGCTACCTCAACAGCTGCATCAACCCCATCATCTACCCCTGCTTCAGTCAGGAGTTTAAGAAGGCCTTCCATAACGTTCTCAGAGGACACTGTCTGAAGGCTGGAAAACACCCAGCACTCAACACCCCCCGTTCGTCCAGTTCATGTCCTTCGTCCAGTAACGGCAGTTCCTCTGATCGAACCAGAACTGTAGGATCTGATTTGTGTTGCTGCAGAGGTTTGTGGACCTCCTCAACACCTGCTGGACGTCCAGCTGGAGGAGCAGACCAGCAGAGTAAGAGTCGGCTGAAGAAGTGGTGCTTCTCCAGGAGTCAAACTCCACTGCCACAGAACTCGTCCAAACACAGACCCCAACAGGTGCTACAGCTTTCTCCAAGAGTTAAAGGAGATTCTGTTTGATTGGTTAAGAAAGTCCAGACATCCAAAGACGTCCAAACTTCTTTGTCTTAAGACCAACCTGCTCTTTAGCCTCCCACAGGTTTGTTTCCACTGGAGGACCAATGAGCAGGGAGAAGATAGAGAAACATGAAAAGTGTGTATTTTGTACTGAGACATTTTTACCTCATCCTAAGATTTTAGACTGTCAGGAAGAACATCACGTACTCTGCCAGGAAACAACTTCATGATAGACTGGGGAACTTACCAGATTAGTTTGTGTCCATTTCTAAAAAAAAAAAAGAAGAAGCTTGAAGTCATTTTTACTCAGGAGAATGTGAAATGTGAAAACTTAGTGATATCTTTTAACTTGTAAGAGGAACTGTTTTGTATAATCTTAACAGGATTCTTAAAACATATGAAACGCAGACAGATGGTGTAAACAAGAACCACTGTGCGCCTTTAAAACTGTTCCTGCTACTTAAAGCTCAGTGTAATACACAGTGGAGATGAGCAGCTAAAAGTAGCGGCAGCTGTTTCCTGACGGCTGTACGAAAGCCTCCAGCAGTGAGAGATTATTATGGGAGAGACGTAGAAAACAATTTTCCTATTGACTGAACCTCACTTCATTTGACAATTACCTGGAACTGCTGAAGTGGAAGAGTGTGAAGGATGACGGCACACAGGAGACAAAGATAACTGACAGACAGAGAGTGTGTGGGTTTCTGAAGGGAGTTGAAGAAAACAGTGGGTTTTTGACAACAACAAACACAAGAAGTAATCATGGTGTGCTCTTCAGAGTTACTTCCACAAAGGAGCAACCAGAGACTGATTGGATTTCTAAATATAAATCTAAGAACCCATCACCTTCACTCACTGTGAAATTAGAATGGCAACTAAAATAATCACCTTCTGTGAGTTAACACGGTCCTCAGGGAATCACTGGGTGTCAGACTGAGGTGACATGAGCTGGTGAATACTATATATATATATACATTAACATGACATGACATGACAAAAGGGCCACTATCACCCTGTTCATGTAGAGCTGGTTGCTGGTTTCACTCATGGGACCTGGGACCACCTTCACTGACTTTTCTTCAATACTGCAGTAAGAGTAACAGAGTTGTTATTGATCTCCAGTCGTGACTGTACTCCTAGTACTTCCTGAACAGTACCAGTTCATTTTAAATGTCTGCTTCTCCACTGAACAGACCACTGAAGAGATCATATCTCAAAGTTGACTTGGAATTCTCCCAGAGGAAGTCGAGAAAAAGTGTACGAGTGTAAGAAAACACTTGGATAAAAAGATGATGAAAACTTCCTGAAGAGGATCAAATACTAAAATTCAGTTCCAAACTGAACAGATGCAGTGAAGCCCGCTGAAAGGGCAACAGACACGTCGGTTAAAAAAGCTCCATAATCCTTTTATTGCACACTGTAAAATCAAGTCATTAATGGAGTCCTAAATCCTTTTTAAGTGTTGCAGGCTGAGCATGGACTTCCATAAAAAGACCAGCGTCCACAGAGTCACTATTCAGTCCACGACAGCAGCAGAGCTCGTGCTTCTGACGTCCATGAATATTAAAGGTGACATTATAAAAAGGAGGAATATCAATTTTAAAGAAACTGTCATTTAAGCTGTAAAAATATATCACATTACCCTTTAAAGGAGGGTCCACCATCATCATACCATATGTCCACACAGAACCTGCTCTCAGCAGAGAGCTTCAGGCTGACCCTCATCAGGATTAACGACAGGACCAGGGCCAGGCTTACACTCATAAACTGGACTTTTAAGAAGGAGGTTAAGAGTTTAAAGCAGCGGTAGGTAAGTTTAGTCAGTGATGATTTGTCTTTACTCTGACTGTATGTCCCTCCTGAACAGAAACTGCTGGAAACGTCTTGTAAAGACAGACAGATGACAGAGATCATGAGCTTTTAACCCTTTAACATAGCAGCAGAATCTGAATCCTAGAACATCAGCACAGCTCTGAGACCGTTCTAGTTCTGGCCATGACTTCACATCAAACATGAAATGCTCAAAGCCCAAAGTACATAGTTTCAACCAGTACCAGAACGTGTATTTCTGAACAAACAACTAGTATAACAAGAACCAGAGATTGTGTGTATTATTTGTGTTCAAATTCTGTATTTTATTTATTTATAATAAAGATGAATATTAAAAGAAGAATCTAAAGTTGATGAATGAAACAAAATAAAGTAAATTATTAAAAAGAAAACACTGAAGACTAATCTACACTAGTCTAAAATAAATGTACTCCCATTCCAAACCCTGAACCTCCTCTACCCTCTCTACCTCCTCCACCAATACTTGTGGGTGAGAGCCTGGTCAGAAGAAAGCAAGACTCTGCCTAATTATAAAATAATTTTATTGAAACACGTCATATATTTTATTGCTCTCATTCCCATCACAAGTTTTATTTAAATATTTATCAGTTTTCTTAACGATACAATACTCAAAGTTTACAGAATCAATTCTCTACAGACACCAGAGCTAACATTAGCTACACCAGTCGTTAGCTCTGGTACAGACTGAACAGTCCTGGTTCTGTGTTTTTGTAATTGTACTGTGTTTTTAGGTCATGTAAAAGTAGTAGACAGACGAAAACATTCATTCACTTAGTCAACCATAACTGATTTAAATTCAGAACTAAACTAATGGTGGTAGATAAAGGAAGGACAGGAAAGGAAAGTGAACTCCTTGTCATTGTGACACAGCTCACCACTGAACACAACCAAATGTGACCTCTGTTTTAACCCATCACCAAAGTGAACAGTGGGGACGGTTTAGGTGGATTCCTTACAAAGCCACTAATTACTCTATGCTTTTTAACTGCGTCGCAGCAGTACGTATATGACATGATTCACTTCAGTCATAACATGATTTAAAAACAGAACTTCATGGTTCTGTCAGAGTTGTCAGTGAAGAACATGTCTTAAATCCCCCCCAACAACAGGATCCTCTTGGTCTTATCTCTCGTCACACTCTTCTCCCTCTGCTCTTAAAATCCTACCTCGTCACAAACACAGATGTTTTTTTATTTGCTCGTTTCGTGAAAGATTTTCTCTCTCTTTTTTTCAGCCAACAGTTGACAGAAGGGTGATGTATACCTGAGAGTGTTTATCTGGGAGCTGCAGTATGTGGAAGGCTTTCTGGCTGATGGATGATTTTTGGTGACAGCATTTTTCTGAGCCTTTCAGTCATTCTCCAGTGATGCTGCTAATGCTGCTGCTGCTCCTCATGCTGATGCTGTTGGGGGATTTAAATATGTATCAGCCCAGTTTTAGCAGTAGCTGTTTGGCAGCACACATGTGCTTTCAGAGTCATAGACTTTCACAGTTTCTATTTACACAGCAGATAAACTGTCTCAGAGCTCATAAACATGCAGCTCTCATTTTCAGGGGATGATGCCACGCTGCATTAGGCAGCGGCAGGAGAAGTGCTGCTGTGTCATTGGACAGACTTCACTGCATCCAAAAATACATCCATTACAGAGAATCATGACGTTTAAGACTGGAGGAAAATTTGTGTCTCTCCTTTCAATTCTGCCGTCTTTCACAGGTGGAGACAGATTTTTCTCATTTTCCTCCAAAGAATTTGTCATTTTAAGTAAAAGGGAAAAAATACAAATACATCCTTCATTTACTTTACAATTTATCTCCTGAAACCACAGCTGCAGCCTCCTCATGGATTATTATCTGAAATGTTAAGTTGCTGGTTCTGCAGTAGTTTTTTTACACTGTAGTTTTGTTCAATTATTATAGTATTTGTTTGTCAGCACTGAGCATCTAGCTACCCCATGTCTGACCTGTAGGTGGTGCTAAGAGCAAATTGAAAGCACTGTTAAAGCGCCTACTACCGCCTACTAACCCTAACTCTCAATGTACGCCATTAGACAAAATTCGGGTAGAGTCAACAAAAACATTTGTGAGTTCCGACCAAAATCGAGTTGTGTCCCACTATATTAACAGAATTCCAACACAAGTCCAGGTGGTAACTTGGCAGCTGGTGGACCTGAACCTGAAACCTTCTGGACTCAAGTCTGCTTCCTTAACCACTAAGCCACCACTGCCCCAAAACTGTTTCTGCCCGGTTATCAGTCTGAAAATAACAAACCTGTGAAATTCTATATTTGAGTTTGGTTTGTCATCTTGATAAAGTGGTGAATGAACCCAACGTTAGTAAAAAAAACATGCTTTTGAAGAGTCCTGATGAGCAGATGTCAAGCTCTGTCTCGATATTAAAAAATGATTAAAGCTGAAGACGGCGCGGTGTGGAAAGAGCAGAAGAAGATTCAGCGACAGTCACAGCATCTGTCAAATTCACATCCTCATTAATCCATCAACGCTCCGACAAGCTTCTGCTGCTGCTGGAAATAATCAGAGAACTTGTCAGAATCCTGTCTGAGGTCATGTGACAGTGGGAGCAAATGATGAGGTTAAAACCACTCCTCCTCGCTGAGGACAGTGATGAGAATCTGATGATGAGTTCTTTTGGGTAAAACTTCAGTCCGAACACACAGACTGTAGAGTGGGTGTGAACTAAAGAATGTGTGAAGTGAGAACAGCATCTGTGTTGGTTCAGTCAATCCACTCTGCTCACAGGGATTTCAGGTCCTCATGTCGGGGACACTGGAACGTCTGAACTGTTTGTTCAGAAGACTGGCCAAGCTGCAAATGAAGCTACTGGAGTTCCAGGAGAATCCTCCATCTCCGCTGATGTTTAGGCTGAAACACGAGCAGTGACCAGAGTAGACGACACAAAGTTTAGTTCTTCATTCCAGTATTTACAGTTTAAGTTTCATTTGAATGTTTGTTTGAATGTTGTTTGACTACGTCGCTCGGCTGGCCTGGGAACGCCTTGGGTCCCCCCAGAAGAGCTAGAGGAAGTGTCGAGGGAGAGGGAAGTCTGGGTGTCCCTGCTCAGACTGTTGCCCCCGCGACCCGGCCCCGGATAAGCGGTTGAAGATGGATGGATGGATGGATGGATGAATGTTTGTTCTACAGATCAGTATTACACGTTTGAACAAAGACCCACTAGTTCCTTTAAATAAAACCTCAACTGGTGAATCGCCTGTTGAGAACCTCGAACTGCCTCGAACAGTCTGTGAAGCAGACAAATATCAGCTCACCAAAAAATAAAAGGCAGTGACATCACATTGTTTGCAGACCAAAGCGTTCTACAGAATATCCACATACGCATTACAAATTCTCCAACCCTGACTTCAGAGAAGGTAACAGCCATGATTAGTCGCAGATATGAGGAGAAAAAGAGTGGTGTTCCTGTCAGAGTCTCAGAGGACTTTCTCTGAATAAACCATCCAAAAACTCACCTCACTGAGTGAATTTCTGTTCAGTAATGAAGAGCAAACATTTAATTGGAGATTATTCGACTCATTAAGTTCTCACCCACATCCTCCTAACACTGAAGACATCGCAGTTCATTATGATGATGTGTTTACAGACCGACACTGCTGATATAGATGTTGGCAGCTGTGCTGAAGCGTATTCATTAGAAAAACCACATGTGAAATGAAGCCAATAAGAAACATTTAATTCTGCTGCTAGTGAATATTCATGTTCAACCTGACTCCAGCTCGCAGTGATGCCGATGACTTCACCTGAACCTTCACATATTCACAGCCTGAAGGGTCGGCACATTAAACTGTGTGTGTGTGTCTCTGTGTGTGTATTTTAAAGTGCATTACTTCACAGTGCCTGAGCAGAGTGACGAACGTAAAGGTCTGCAGTCTTCAGGTCAAGCAGTAATAACAGCCTGCAGCAGTGAGACATGAGACAACTCTACGTGCTTGACTTTGGCTGGACAACAAAGACAGTCGCAGTCACAGACTGGGATGTAAAAAGGTCAGAGCGTTTGTTCAACAAGCTCTTACACACATGCATGTAGTTTAATATATATGCACAAATATATGTGTGTGTATATATATGTATTTATATACATATGTAATACACACATTTACTGTATGTGTGTGTAGTTTGTCCATAAATATATATCCTTGCTGTTCACTAAAATAAATAAATATAAAATATGAACTGGCACATTGGTCTGTACACAGAGCACCTGTCAGAGGAGCTGATACGGTATATAGCTACATATACTGTATGTATGGCAATGACCCAAATTGGTCACAAGATGGCACTATTGTTGATAATTACCTACAGACCGGTGTTGGGTAATAATCGCTATTGTGTTCTTAATAGGACACTGTGTTTAGAACTGTTGTTGTGATTTTAATTTGTTGTGTCCCCTGCTTAATTACTGTGACTTCTTTGTTCATCTTTGCCACTTTTATTGTTAGCAGTTAGGTAATTTGCGCACTTTATTTTAATTACCATATAATAACTTGAATATGAGTTACTGTTTGGTTGAGTGTTTCCTTCACCTGCGTAAGATGGAATAAACGGTGTTAATCAGGAAAATGGACCTCCGTGTATCTGACTCGTCCTCCTGCGTCATACCCTGAGGTCAACAACAAACACAACGCAGAGTCTCTGGTTGTAGGGAGGCACGACATCGCACGGACTGGGTTATATTATATAGATGACCGAGTAACCACGGAGACTGCAGAGCACCTACACAAAAAATAAATAAATAAATAATATATATATATATATATACACACGAACACTTCTATCCACCAATCATCGGCAACAGGCGCTCTGAAGGAAAAGCAGTTCTAGCCCCCCATGATCAGAAGATACCCGTGCAGACTGTCCTTGAGGACGAAACTGTCAAAAAGCTTCGGGGAGCTGGTAGAACGACTGATTGTTCTTTTCAGTAGCAAAGGCTAAGAGAGTTATTGAGAGTTACATAATAAGCATATACACAAAAACACCGAAACAACAACAATGAAACCAAGAACGGATCGAGAGGAAAGTCACGACACAGTTTTAAAGCAGGTACCACTGCCAACAATTCAGGGACAAGGACAAGTCCTGTGATGAGATCAAGGGTTTTTAAAACCAACAATAATTAAAAGAGATCCTTCCAAGTTCAACTTACTTCATTTGTCAAAACACTGGCTTCGATAAATTACGTAATAATGTATCCATCTACATGCATTTGACTGACTCGGTGGTAACAATGTTCAAGTTGAGTGGAGATTTAAAGTAAATAGCAACACTGCCATCTAGTGTCAATATATTATTAACTCAACTGCTGCCTGTCATTTCACCCTGTGCTCGTCGTAATACAGAGGTTTTAAACAAAAATAAACATAAACCACCCACATTAACACA